GCCTTATTAAGTTAATAGACTCAACTAATTTCTAAATAGGATTTTACACTTTTGTCCATGTTAGTTAGTTGTAATTTCATCTTTCGTTTAACAACTTGGAGTTTGAGTTGAGTTAAAAGACAATAATTTAAAACATACATTCTAATGTCAGATTTTGTGTATATTAATTTCACACAGATTTCGTGCAAATTTTGTATTGAATGATAATTTTTATTTAAAAAAAAAAAGTGAGCAATTGTTGAGCATAAGCTTTCCTAAGGAAAGAGAATAATCCAAAATACAAGTAATCAAACATGGTAAACCAACTACCTTTCCAAGAAAAAACATTTAATATAATTTTGTTGTAAGAATCCAAAAAAATATCACAACAAGAATATACAAAAATATTCTATTAAATGTTGAAAATTAAGAAACCAAAAACATGGCCATCTATTGGGCAGATCATCATTGGTGCAACGAGATGGTCAAATGAATCTCCAAAGATACAATCCATTCACCTTGAAGCAAGAATTGTAACAAAAAGATCCCATCCAAGATTTCATGCTTGCCTTTAACTTTTCAATATTTAATTTTTTTTTATTTGCTGCTCAGACCTAATGCTATGACAAACCTAAACTCCCAACAATGTAGAGTTGTCATTTACCTTAGCAATCTACCATTGCAAACCACAAATCAATGGCTCAATACCATTTGCATGCACTATGGTCAGGTAATTAGCCCTTACATTCCTTTTAATCAACTCGTTAAAAGTAAAAGATATGATTTTGTGCAGGTGAAGTTCATAGAACAATTAGAAATCTTGATAGGGTTTGATTTTTCAATCAAAAGCTCAAAGTTGCTTTAACAAATCAAAATCCCAATTCGCATGATGATTCTTCCACTTCTCAAGTATAGAATCTCGATCGTGTGAAATCCATCTGCAACCCTATCACTCAATACCCAAATCGGGGTGCAAGAAGGCTTTTTCTTGGGAAAAATTATCACAATAAGGAATCAAATTGACATAATCCAACCCATACCGCAAAATCCATAGATCCCCAATCACTCCCCAATCACTCCATCTAGCAAACACATAATAGGGGTGCCAACCACTTGCACAAAATCAACCTTTGACTCATACACAACCTCCCATCTCCATACCCAAGAAAATAGATCTTATTTAGGGGCACTGACAAGGTGCCAAACCGATACCTCTCAAATAAATTTGCCCTCTCCCCCACATCTATTCAGACTTTGCCTTGTAAAAATATTGCACTGATTGGAAAGTTGTGTAGTGGGCACTAGCAAATTTCAGCAAGAACCTAAAACTATTTTGAAGGAGGGCATCCAGTTCTGTCCATTAAACGTCTATCAAGTTATCAATTTCTTATCTCTTTTGATGACAGACAGCTTTTCGATAAGGCTAAAGCAAATAGTTAGAAATGGTTTGTTGGATTGGAACAATGGTCTCCAAATATTGGTAAGGACTTACGGAGATGTTAGTTATCAGTATCAGGAATTCCCCTTCATGCTTGGAATCATACCACTTTTTTCAAGAATGTTAATATTTAGGGCTTGTTCATTGACATAGGTGATGAGACCTCTTCTCTGTTGACTTTTGAAAGGGGCATCTTTGTTTATCACTACCAGTTCTATGACTAAAATTGATGAGTTTATTCACTTTGTTGTTGGTAATCAAATTTACTCAACTTATGTTTGTGAATTTTTATCGGATTATCTATTAGATTGTTCAGGAATCACCCAATGGAAAGACAAGGATAATGTAGACAATTATAATTCAAAAGTTAATGATAAAGTTGATGTTTGCAGTGGTGGTGACACTGTGGGTGGAAGCAGAAATCGTGATGATCCATCATTGGAAAATATTATCGGCTCACCCTCCACAAATCTGAACCGCAACAACCCAACACCATTAGAAAGTCCTCATATGCGTTCTAATCAGCTCAGCAGTAATGACATTCCTGAAATTGGAGTTACCATTAGTGGGTTTGATGAGTCTAATTCTCTTGAACTTGTTAGACCTGAAAATCCTGAAACCAATGCAAACGTATCTCCACGGAAAACTCTACTACAGCCCACCCAAGTAATGGACTCATCTTATGAAGCCAACTCTAATCACTATGAACCCATGATAGCCCGAAACTCTTTGACCTAGTCTTTATTTGATCTTTCAAGCCTAGGATTGGTTATTGACTTGGATTACAACCCGAGAGAATTGGCCCACCCTCACCTAAATCAAGCCCTGTTCCATCTACACCTCCCACTCAAGCAACTGCTTAGTCGACCTCCAACTTACCAGCCACACAACAAGCAAGTAACCAAGATTCTTCTTCGCATGAGCGAGAAATAAATTTAAAACCAAATGATGAGATAATCTCCATTTTCAATGGTAAAAAGTTTCATTTGTTGAAGACTTTCCAGAACTATTAAGTGGCATTAACAAGGGTGTTAAAAATACGAAGAAATTAAGGGAAAAAAGCATTACGAAGCTTGCTCGAAAATCAAATTTATCTTCTTCTAGTGCGAAAGTTCAAGAGGTGGAATCAACTTGGGAATTAGGTAAACAGCTTGGTCTTGCCCCTCAACCTCAATGTTCTGATCAATTATTGATTGACAACCTTATGGCTATTAAGAAGTGAGTTTAATGTTTATCATCTGCATCCCTTTTTGTAATTATTATAGTCTCGGATCTTATGTTCTTCTGTTGTTTGATTTCTGCTCATGGCCTCTTATTCCTGAAACTTTGTTTTTAAACATTGTTTCCTATGGCGGGTTTTATCAGTGACCTTCATCTTTTCAATGATCTCAGCTTTGACGCTCTTTATTTTTCTTGGACTGATTCTTTTTCTACAACTCTTTCTCTGTTTTTGCTTGCCATCATGAGTGGTTTATCATGGAACATTCGTGGCTTAGGGGGTTCCTTAAAATGCAGCAGGGTTCGTAAGGCAATCATTAATAGCAGAGCTTATATGATTTTATTACAGGAAACGAAGTTGAAAATTATCTCTAACAGGGTTATTGGGAAACCTTCGTGGTCTAAAAATTTGGAATGGGTTTACAGTCCATCCATTAGACTTTGATGCCTTTGTATGGCACCACAAACTCAGAGCATCTAACTTTAATGCCTCTGTATAAAAATTATGTATGGTACAAGCACTGATGAATCCACCACTCCTAAAACTTTACAGTTTTTGTGTTTAAATTATGTCATCTTAAAGATCTAAAGAATCACATGCATGACTAGACTTTGATTTTAATCCTATGGTTTCATATATTATGGAAGTGTCACCTTTTACAGGGAATAAAAAAGGAATAAAACTTAAACAAAATGTTAGGAAGAAAGATAAACACGTAGGTTGTGCAAGTTATACCTTAGTAACAATATTATTGGCAACAGTCCCAATGAGAAGAGGTCCCGCAGATGGCAGTATCCATGTGCAAATATTTAGAATGGAAACAGCCATCCTGGTAACGCAAACCAAACCCGTGTACAACAAACTTAACATGTAAGACCACTGAACACCCTCCCTTGCATGTAGGCCCTATAGAACAATTGAGATAATAGGCCTATCACATTAACTCCCAAAATGAAGGCAGCAAACAACATGGACATCTCAAGTATTCAATCTAAAGTCCACTTGCCAATAGGTGTTGAAGCTCAACTTGGACACAAGGCAAATATAAACACCGAAAAATAATCAGGTTGTCTTGTCAATTATACATTAACCTTGTGTAGACTGTCCCAGCAAGCTTTTGCAAGGAATACGTTAAGTGCATTTAACTGCCAGATGCATGTGACACTTCAAATTGAGGATAAATCATGGTCTGTGAGGTTGTCTACTTTTGTTTACACAGAGCAGCAAAATTTACTGGTGGTTGGCGGGGCATTTGCATCAGAAAACAATCTGCTGCTTGGAGATTTTGGTGTCCTTGAGATGATCAAGAGAACAAATATTGTGTTAGAAGTCCCCATTTTCAGAGGTAGCTGTGGTTGAGCAGCTGCAAGACACCACAATGTAACTCAAATCGGCAGCTTAAGTGTGTTTATGCTACTTTGAAATGTATACTACTGAATTACTTGGTTTGTATTATCTTAGGGGCACTTTCTCTCAACACAACCCATGTTTTAAAGATTAATGATTTGACTGTATGACCTCTATCATTAGAATTAAAGCCCTTACCTTCCATATTTAAAAGTACTACACTTACATATATATATATATATATATATTTTTGTTATTACGAGGATTAATGTTTTGTTGTTTATCTGTTATTATATTAAATCACTTATAAATCGTTCACATTTGAGGACAAAATATTTGATCATGAGAAAATTAAAAAAAAAAAATGGGAAAAAACCAGCTTGATAAAATTGCATCAAGAATGTAGAATATGCTTGCGGTTAATGACTTCTTTGACGGGTTAACATTGAAGTCAAGAGTTTTGCCAATGTATCACTTCAAGCTGCCACTTTTAAACAAGTTTGATGAGATTGGAGATCTGAACGTGCATCCTATTCAAGTTTGTACAGTAACCTCACTGGGTTTCTTTCATTTAGTCGCTGGGTTTTAGATGTCAGAACCCAATCTGTTTCTAAGACTCCAATGGAGCAAATTTCCTATGGGACAGTAATGTTGTTTAATTTTGAAAGGTTTTAAAATTAAATCTTAAAAAAAATGACATTCAAACATAATACATAATCTCTCAATTTAAAAAGTAAATACAGGATTCGAATTTCTTTTCTTCAATTATATATATATATATATATAAAAAGAAAAAAACAACTGGAAGAGGCATGGGCTATAAATGTAAGAAGGCTAATTTTGGTTATAGGCTAAGGTTTAAGCGCTTGGGCTGTATGAAGAACATTTTCCAGAAGAAGCTTTTAATAGCCCTTAATCCAAACGTAACGCCAAAGCCTCTGCCTGGCAAAACACGTATCCTCCTTGTCTCTCTGGTAACTGCCAAAGCCAGTATAAATCACACAAGGCATCCAGACGGCTGAAACGGGAAATCTTAAGAGAAATTGATTACAAGCAATTCATGCAGCCAGAAAACTATCTCACATAAAATATACAAGAAAAAGAAAAGAACTTTCACAATTCAATATAGCTTGATACTGGACCCGTATCAATACCATCTAGCTCCGTTTTGACGCCGTCAGCCCCCATAATGCAACAACGAAACTGATTTCAAGACTAACAGGAGCCAAAATGCCAATGACACCTGGAGAAAAATACGTCGATTGTTTTCATGGGCGATTTTCTGATCAAGCAAATTGCCGCCTGATATAAGTATCTTCATGAACAAAAACAGGATCTTGAGAGCTCTGGGGCGGGAACTGAGGTTGTCCCATGGCTATGCCACCTTGATTAGGAACAGGTGCATTGCCCCAAGGACCAGTACTGTCCTTTGCCACGTTTAAAGTGAGATAATAGAAGATTCCAAGAGTGACACTTGCAAGAGCTAAGACAGCACCCCCAGCGAAGACCCCAGGTCTCACAACATAGCAATAGTAGTTGCCAAAGTACACACTCTCTTCACCATGTTGATCATTGAGTGCGGAACCAGTTAGTAAGAGAAGGAAAGCTATAACAAATGTGAACCTGCAAGAATAAGGAATCAATGCATACACCATTGACCAATATAAATATATAAATATTAAGAAATGTTGAAAAGAAATTTTATGTCAAGAAACTAGTTTTTATGTCAAGAGACAAGTTTTTTACTCCTGGATGAATAAGCATTTGAATTAAGTTTTAAAAAGGAAAGTTGGCACGCTGGAAGCAACAACCAATCTATAAACAAAACAGAAGCAAAGCCTACATCACTATTGAGCGTAAAACAAGGAATAACACAAGAAAAAACAGAAATGCAATTGTACAAAGTATTCTCTACTCTTTCACCACTAACCCTACATTGGACTACTAACATGGTATCATAAAGTTAAACGAGTCTGCTCTCTTTAATGTTCACATGAACATTCAGGCATTTCTTTTCAATCATAAGCTATAGATCATAGCTTCAGAGGCCAATTTAAGCAACAACAGGTGAAAACTCTTTCCCCTCAAGCTATTCACTAACCATTCTCTAACTAAAATAACCTGAAGCTTTTATAACAGTCTTGATATACCATATCCATCCTCTCACCATATCCCTGTAGATAGCCCATAATGAACTATCAATCAAAAGAAAAAATTAAGAAAGTCATAATTTTGGATCTCGAGAAGATTATACCAATTCAGTCCTTGAAGTTTATTTCTCAATGAATTCTCGGTTTGCGATAGCAAGAAAAAGACTCTAGAACATAAGTCACAATATCACAAACTTCAATAAACTACTTCAAGAAGTGCAATCTATATGCCTACATATCCCTCCCATTCAAAGTTCTTTCTCCAGCCAGATTGACAGTTCAAAAGCTGCTCATTCTCAGCATATGAACCTTCGCCCAAGAAACTGCAAGCAGGAAGAAACATGCTGGGCTGAAAAGCAACCAAAATACCCCTATAACTTTAGTTTTTTAGTCCTATGCTTCTCAAACTAAATCCTCCTCTTTCACCGTTGCATTCAACAACCAACTGAAGCATACACTGGTAGCTTGTTAAACATCCATCGTAAAACCAATAGACAATAGATGCCAAAACCCAATTTGAATCCAAGGACACAACAAAACTAAAACCAAACTCGTCTGAATATACCACTTAACAATACTCCTAATATGTAGGCCAAATTCCAACTGAAACTAATGGGCCTAACATGCAGACTACAAAGATAGAGCAGGATAGAACATGCAGGGAAACATATACCTCAGGCTTTGATATCATGTTAAGCACCTATAACCAATTGGCAATGGATGGAGAAGCCCAACCAGAGTTTAAGGTCACTATAAACTCCTAACCCATCTAATGTGAAAGCACCATTTGACATGGTGTCTTGATAGATATGAATCTATAGCTATGCATGAAATTTTGGTTCAATTTTCTGGGAATAAGTGTTGAGGTAAAGCAAAAATGCCACAGCCCATCATGCATATGAAAATGCCCAGCATTTCATCAATTAATTTCTTCCCAATACCTTATCAAGTACATTATTACCTAGTAAACGTTGTCTACATTATATGAACTTAGGCACAAGTTGCCAGAACAAATGTGTCTGAATTTCGAACTAACAAAGTCAGCTAATATATGCCCAAAAGCATGACATGTATATATGTGTACATCTTGAAATCATAGGCAATATGAACTCATTTATAAAAGCAATGAAATCTATTCAAATCCAAAAGTGATTTTTCATATAAATCAATATTAACTGCTATCCATCTCTATGTATACGTATGTGCATATGTGCATGCATTTAGCAATTAGAAATATATATATACGACGTATGGTAACCTAGGATAGCATAGAAATGCAAAAGTTTAAAACTCAGGCCATTCCAATTTTTGGTTCTTGAGCTATTGTGATATTAATAATGATTATTACAAATATGCCTGATTCCAGGCCAGCAACAGGCAACTGGAGGAAGCTTCTTTTGATTTAGAAAAGTAGACCTGTCTATCATCAAATCCTGATTTATTCTTTTCTCTCAGATTTAAAAACGAAAAACATCAAACTGAGCCACTTTGGTTTAATTCACATGATATGGGTGATTGAGTCATGGTGTGTCCTCTTATCTAAAATAATAATAAAAAAATCAAACTGATCTAAAATGGCCATTGCAGTCTAGTGCAGTGATAAACACTAAATATCCTAGGAAGGAAGGGCAAGATCAAGGGGCCATATTTTAGTCCCTACCAGAACAAAAAAAAAAAAGGAAAAAAAAATATGAATCAAAAAATCAGGAATAAAGTTTTGCTACAAGCTGTGTTTGAGAATTACCAAGAAACAACATAGAAGACAAGAGCTTTTGTCCAGTTAGAGTTCCAAGATTGACGGGTTCTTTTGCAACAAATACACCCAGTTGAACTATTTATAATTATTTGAGCTATCAGAAGCGCCACTGCTGCAGTTAAGCCAAGGCCAAGTGCAGGACTCCGGGGGTATTGACATTGTGTAGAGGAAACAAACTTAACTTGCGAAGCCTATAAGAGAGAAAAAGGAACAGTTGGAAGTCTAAAGAATTTCAAAAAACCATATTCAAGTAAGCTTACCCAATGCACAGAACAGTATTTGACAACATATCAAAATAAGTATTAGCATGTCATTCACATTTTCAGTTTCAATACTCCAATTGGAAATTGATTTAAGAGAATTTATCATGGCAGGCATTTTGGATTAAATAGATAAACCAAGTATATATTCACTACTTATACTTCTCTGAAGAAATTAAACCCTGCATTTAAAAATCCAAATTCTTTGATCTGTACTTATCTTTAGTAACATAATGGTGTCAACACGTTGGATGTCAGGCTTTTAACAGTTTAACTCAGATCTTAAAAATAGCATGGAAGCATGAGAGTAAGAAGCAGCACAAAAATTTTGGTGCAACAGGCATTTATGTGAATAAATTGTGATCCCAATGCAAATGGCAGAACACAGCAAGTCAGTGCCAATGGAGTCCAATAAATTGATTCTCAGGTGCAACAAGAAGGACCAAAGTCAACTAATCAAATGAACACTTGTTGTAAAATCAACTGAAAAGCAAAGCACAGAACCAAACTTACACCACTATTATATGAAATTGATTTGAACCAATACTCATTCTATTAGCTGGCATGACAAAAACTGATGAATTAAGAAAGAGAAACCTGGCAGAACATTGTTGGAAAATTTCCTTAATTGATGAGTCCAATGACTTCACATTCTAGACATCAAATCACACTAGTAGCCCAACCAATGAGGCACCAAATATTCCATATGCCACTCTGGTGTATAATAATTTGTCTCTCCCACAATACCTTTTAATAATGACTAACTCTTAAATACATTGAATTTCTACTTTATTGTGGTTAAGACTTAGATTTTTTTTTTTTTTTTTTTGGTTCTTTTCTTATACCTTCATCCATTTAGAAGAATTCTAGAGGAAAAACAGTAGCAAAAATATACTTAGAGCCAAACAAAATGTTGTATAAGTTGGAATCAATTAAATTGAAGCCCCTGCTTCCTTTAGGGTTCCAAAGCAGTAAAATCATTATATTTTTCAGTTTCCACAAAAAATACATAGAACAAAACAGAACAACAAAGTTAAGGAACTTGCCATAAGAACTTACAACTAAATTCTATCCAAAAGACTTAAGCTTTTCTACTTCAAAAAGACGATTAAACCAACTAAACCTATCTTTCTTGAGCTTAAATTTCCATTTTTCGACCCTACTACATACACTTGATGAATAAAACCAACAACAGCAATAGGAAAAGAAATTCAAAGTAACACGTTTTGTTCTTTTGCACAGTTTTTTAAACACCCAAAACACAGGGTAATTGTAAAGCAAAGCAAGAAACTGATAGGGAAAAAGAAAAGGAAAAAAAGACAAGAATCTAAAAGAAACGCAGTACAGAAGATCTAATTAAAAGCCCATAGTATTATTTTTACCTGAATCCTAGTAGCTTCAGCAGCAAAGCCAGTTACGGCCGATAATATCCCCAAAAAACCCACAACACTGCATAAAACTATAGCCTTCCTCTCCATCTCTTCTTCTCTTACTCTTCTTTTTCTCTTAGCTTTCGAAACTGAGACTGAGAGAGAAGTTACTTAGGATTATGGAAGCCTTTTGTTTCAAGGGGAAAACGTAAAGTTGGCACCAGAGTTGGTGTCCTCTTGTCTGGGCCTTGGGGAGGTCTTTTATATATTAATAATTATATTTTGGTCAAAATAACTACAAGTTTTTATATCACACATTTTATTTAATTTAATTCATATATTTAAAATTAAAATAATTTAATTTTTAATTTTAAAAATTATTTCAATTTAAAATCTCCCTAATAACATCCAATTTAATCATTAAAAATAATAATAATAATATTAACATAACATTAACATAACACACCATGCTAATGTGATAAGTGAAAGTGACTCAAATTGCTAACAAGGTAATTTACGTGTAAATTGTTGACATGGTATTATCATGTTAACATGTTATGAGTGATGTGACACTATTATATTATTATTTTTAACAATCCAATTAAGGAAAAAAATTAAATTAAAATAATTTTTAAAATAAAAAAATTAAATTATTTTGATTTTGAGTGTATGAATTAAATTAAAAAAAATACATAAATATAAAAACTTGATGAGAATTTTAACCATTATATTTTTCTTAGTGAAGGAATATGTTTTCTCTTTATACTGTTTTCTATTTTTTTAATAAAAACTCTTTAGTAATTTCTTAACTTATTAAATGAAGGAAAATTAGAAAAATATGAAAAAATAAACAATTATATTGAATTATAAAATAAATAATTTTTTTAAAATTTATATTATTTACACGTTGTCATATTTATTTTCCTGTTTTCTTTTTCTTTTTGGATTTTCAATCATTTAATACAGTCCAAAATCTTAAAGACAACTCAATAATAATTCCAAGTTGAAACTTTTAATTTTAAAATCTCAAGTTCAAATTTTTATTAAAAAGTAAAATTTTATAAGATAATTACATAATGAACCTTTAAAAGTTAAAAAAAAAAAAGAAGGGGGGGGGGGGGGGGAATATTTATAATATAGTCATCTGAAAAATGTTACATTATAATTGACTTTATGTTATGCTGACCCTGAAATTGTGATTAGTGGCAGCTCTACTATTATTATTATTATTTTCTAAACCCCTTGTATTGTATTATACACAGTCAAACTAGCATTATTAATAATAACATTACTAGTACATTATGTTAAATTTTAAACTTTATTTAAATATTCTTAAATAAAAGAATCACTTTTCTTTATTTTAAACTTTCGGTAAATTAAATTTTGATTTAATAATGAAAGAGAGAAAAAACTCTAAGACATCTAAGACTAGGTATTTTCCTAAAAAAAAATGATACTTGAAATTTAAATCTTAAAGTGACGTTAGTTATCTTATATATGTAAGGTGATTATTGAAAATGTAATTATTAACAAGATAACATTATAATTTTTGATATTTTGCAACATTTAATTAACAGTGAAAATGAAAAAAAAAACAAAAAAAATAATCTAAACATTTAATTATTAAATAGGAATGTGGTTATGATAATCAATCATTAAATTTCAAAAAAATTAATCATTAAATTTAAGAGTTTTTTTGTCATCTTTCTCTCTTTCTATTGTCTCAGTCATTGGATTAGAAATGGACTATTCAATTGATAATTCATTTTCAGTATAATTAGATTAAGCAATTTAAGCATTGCTTCATTGATAGAGACATTATTAAATAGACATAAACCCTTGTTACTAGGTTAATCATGCAAATTTATGTAAGGTCAATTTATTAAAGTTGTAATAGTGACAATTAATATATAAATAATAAAAAAAGTAATATCTAAATGTTAAAATAAAATCACTTTATTTTTCTCGATGAATTAGAGCTAAGGGTTTTAAAATATTTTTCCATAATTAAATTTAAAAGAAATGAACATTTCAGCCTTGGCAATCTACTCATGCAACATGGTTTCAATTCTCTCTGGTGGTTCAACGAACATATATTTTCTTGGGTAGACCTTGTTAATTTCTCCTTATAAAATATATAAATTATTTATATATTTTAAAAATATTTACTTAAATATACTAATTTTTGCGTTAAATAAAAGCAGAAGCGAGTAGTCAAACCTGTAATCTCTCGCCAATATTCTGACAATGACGCTAAAACCTTGTGATGAAGAGGAATATCTCTAATCTTGTTTAGCAACATTTGAAAACCTTGTTGACATCGATACTAAAAAACCATAGCCAACATACTCCAGCTTGTATGTGGCGGAGCGTACCTTTGTGATGGGGGGCCAAAATTTTTAAAATTTTTTATATATTATTATATTTTTAATAATTTTTAAAATAATTTTTTATTAAATAATTAATATAATTAAAAAATAATAAAATAATTTTACAAATTTTATCTAATTTTATTTAAATTTTTAAATTTCTCCACTCATCTTTCTCTCTTTGCTTCTTTATTTTTATATTGTGAAATTATAAAAAGGTAAAATTTTTATTTAATTTTTTTATTTATATTATTATTTTTTATATTTTTTAATTATATTCTATTTGTTCATATATTTTAAGTTTTTATACATTTTTTTTAAATTTATACGAATCATTAACTATATTTTTTTTGTTATATAGATTATATCTCCAATTTGTCATGATTTTTTTCTGTTATGTGGATTTTATTTTTAGTGATTTTAATTTTTAAAATTTAAAAAATTATTATATATTAATTCTCAAATATAAGTTCTAGTATTACATTATTGATTGTTATTTAAAATTTCACTAATATGTTATTTTTTATTAATCTTAATTATATAAGAAAAAATTATCTTGAGTATATATTTTTAATGCGTTTTATATTTTATACTTAATTAAAAAGAAATTATCTTGAATATAAGAAAAAATTATTAATTGCTGTATATCATATTTAACTATTTCTATTTTATGCATTATAGTTTAAAATTTAATATTATAAACTTAAATACAATAAATAAAAATATTGATGTTGACTACATTAATTTTTAGTTAATTATATTGAAAAAGACGATTTCGAAACAAAATAAATGATAAGTTTTTTACAAATAATTTAATTATTTATATTAAAAAAAATATTATCATCATCAAACAAAACTTTTCTAAAACACTATTGTCTTTTTGCTTCTTTTATTTACATGTTATATAAAATTATTGTTTATTATAAATTTTTTAATTATTAATGATTAAGTTTAATATATTAATTTTAAAAATTTTTAATTTTTAATTTTTTTAACTTTTGATTCCCTAATAAAAATTAGTTAGCTCCGTCGTCCCTGTACGTAGGGCAAGCTTCATCCAGAGGGAATCATTTTCATGAAAAGATACTCGGGTATTACCATGATTTTCGCCTGCGAAAGAGTCAACCTTAAACTGAAACAATAGAGTAGTTTCAAGTCAACATATATGCAGATGTTCTGTAGCAGTAGCAATTTATATGCATATACATATGTATGCAACTGTGTACAGAAAAGGTCAACACTCAACCCTGCATTTGATAACTCTGTTGGCTATGAAAGAAAAGGAGGAATGTTGAACAAACATCTGTGAACATGTTCTCCTTTTGATGATTTGATAGAGTTGACTTCTAAAAAGGAGCCCAAATTGATGGACAACAACTATATTCAATTGGTTTCTTCACCAACAGCAACATTAACAAGAAGCTTTCTGATATATTGATAGGTCTATTTCAGTTAATTGATTTAAGGTATGCACGTTCTATTAAGAATCAATCAATGGAATTTCCCGCTTTAATCTCACACTCTTCCATGTTAGTTTTGTTTTTAGTATTAATTAGAGAGCTGCAAAAGGATCAAAAATTATATATTGAGCCCAAAGGAATGGGAAGCAGTGTTGAAGGATCAAGGGCCCTCAAGGAATATACTCCGTGAAATGCTATCTTCCCTGAAGGGGAGCTGAAACCCAGGGTTGAAAAGACCGGATTACTGATGATTTTGAATGGCATTTTCCTCTTTGGATTGAACAAGAAAGGTTTCAATTTGAGATTGACAAGGACAAAACATCACTACATATATGTATCTAATTTATCCTGTTCTTAGTTGATTTATGTGTTTCCTATGCCATAGGAGTGATCCTCTCCCAATTATGAATTAAGAATTTGAGAGAGGATCACCCCTATGGCAAACCACTTTACATGCATTTTGCAGATAATAACCTTGTTCCTGGACATCCTTATATCCTTTTCTTCTGCTTAGGGCTGTTCATATTGATCACTACTTACGAGGCAACAGCTACTTAGAAAACCTATGCAACAAAATGATTTAACTTAAAATATGTAGGCTGCAAAAGAAGAAGAAAATAGACTGTGAAAATTGCATTGGTCAGTGTACTGTTGTTTATGAAGCAGCTTTAGGCAGATTTCACTTATCAACTCCTTACATTTGATATTGAAACCAAATATGAGTTACAAAACCATACTTGTACCACCAGTTCTTTGAATACAGGATTTCACTGAAGGCCATAAACAAGTAAAGCTCCAACAGCTCCAACACCAGCTACCAGCCCAATAATGACACCAATTGGGGGTAACCCTGCACCAATAGCTTTGCCAGTATTCACATCATATTTTGCAAATCTCTTCTTCGGTGCTCGACATTGAGGGCATGCATAAGTATCAGGCTGCAGCAAATTAAAGAAGACAAAATTTAAAAATCTCTTATTCACAAAATGGATCGTGAGAGGATGATTAATCTCCTAGAGCAGTTTTTGGCACAATATACATTACCCATACTTTGGACATTAATAAAAGTGGATGATATGAGGTGAAAAGCATGCATAACCCATTGCTTATGTAATTGGTTTCATCAAATTCTTTGGACATAAATATACATGGCATGATTGAAAGATTGCTTATTGCACATGAGTTCAGATGAATTAACCATATAAGACGTGTGATTATTGCTGAGAACCTGGATACAGACTTGCCTGCTCATCAAAAGGTTTCTGTGCAGTGTATATGTATCCACAATCAAGACAAATATGAGTTGCTCTTGCCTGCAAAATTCTGTATACCATTAGTTTTTGCATTTGCAAAGTGATCTCATTCAATACACATGCAGTTGGATCTGAGCATGTATATATTTATCAAAAAGTGAAGTAGAATCTTAGTTGGCCAAATCTATGTTTGCCTTCTGAGCCTCAGTCAATTTCCTTCCAAAGCGAGGTGGTGCTGGCCGCTTTATTAGTCGTCTAACATCTACTTCTGCACCTCTGCATCAAATGGATAGGAGAGCTATCAGATACAGATCAGAAGAAAGTGAATTGGCAGAATTTTTTTCTTTTCCATTACTTTCATACTAGTAAAGAAAAATAGTAAACACATTACAAAAAGGAGTTTGATTATAGATAAATTAATGTGAAAATGGGACCTTTAACTAAATGGCAACTGCATTAACTCATATTAACTGATGCATGATATTTTTCCATTTCAAATTCACTCCCCTCTTGATCTTTCCTCATTGTAGAGTTAGTATATAAAATTCTTAAGCAGGAAAAGACCAAGGGTAGCACACTGGAGCTTCTGTCAGAAGATTTAGATGACATAAACTTCAAAAGATAAATATGAGAAGATGCTGGAAAAACCTACATTTCGTCTTGCTGGCCTTTAAAAAAAGATCTATGTTTTTCTACATCATATCTGCAAAACTTTTTAGTTTTATTTATTTTTCTATATTACATCTTTGAAATGACATAGTTTTTGCTATCTCAAAACATAGCAGAAGCAACAATGATCAAACACCAGACAGAAGAAGTTGCAGACTTGCAGCTCAATTTAGTGAAACCATAACCTATTCACAGGGGTAGCACATGCAGTTTGGCATGTAACCATGCATAACCAGATAGATTTGTATATATAATTATGCAAATACATTTTACTAAAATAATTAGAGTTCAAATATACATAGAACTGAAACTATGGGTAAGAGGTTTTCAAATGGTACACTTATGGAAGAGAACATTAAGCGAAATACTGAATCTTTGATGCTAATTCTTAATGCAGACTTGACAAGCATCATAATAGGATATGTTATGAAAACTATTGCATTGCAATAGATCCATAGTTCTCAAATTGTTTTAAAATAATTTAGGGTGTTTTATTAACTTTTTGATAGAACAGCAGAAACATCATGTTCACTGCCTAAACTTGTTATGTTACACTGTTAACATCAATTTATTTCTTTTAATGCTCCGCAACGGTTTGGGCAATACAAGCTGGTTATAAAACATATTTTCAAAGGGTGGATGGCCATAGTAGAGTCATGGAGAATCACTACATACAAATTTAAGTATACAATATTTACATAATGTTCATCTGAGGCAGTCATGAAATCCACCAAAAAGACATCAGTACCATCAAGTTGAAGCCATTGCCAATATTAATGCTAATACATTATATCATTGTGTTCCAGTAACTAGATATAACCAGATGGCATATTTGTTGGCAAATCGTTACAGAAGTTCTTCTTTTATAATAAAAAAATGTTTGAAGTATAAGTTCAAACTTAAAAAATAAGCACAGGTTACTGATAAGCCAACATGTAATGAATATGAGCAATGTGACACATCTATCTGGAAAGGAGAAACATGTTCTATCACTCTAATATAAAGAAGGAAAAAAGCACAAAACTTCAAATTTGTTTCCTTTGATAGGCAAATGACTGGTCATTGTTTATCTTCTAGTTGCCAAACATTCATATTCTTCAAGGAAAAACAATGACAGAGCAGGTTTAGCAGTAATATTGCCACTGGGGAAAGGAAAGAAGAAACAGAAGAAAAGGACCCTTGTTTGTCTTAGCCGTTTGACAAGCTCCCCTCTTTTTCTTGATTATTAAGGAATTAATTGAATGGTCAAAAACTCAAAGTGCCACAATAAACTAATTCTCCTGCTATGTTCCTCCAGTCGGCATTTGAAATAACTGGTTCTAAAGCGGGAGCACAATTGTCTAAACTCCTTGTCCACAAATATGAGCTTTTGTTTTTGGTCCATGAACCCACAAGAAAGAAGAAATCTTGCAGTTTGCGTGCTATACCATGAATTTATAGAAAGTATCAATAACTTTTCTTCCTCCACCATACTAATCATCAAAATTTTGCAACTAATACAATAAAAGGAAAGTGAAAAATAAAAGCAAGGAAATTAGATTTAGATCAGAAGGCAAACCTGTTAACAACAAAATAGACAGAATCTGGCTTTGCTTGGATGGCAGTTTTAGTGAATCCAAGCTTATCCGCAGGCCAAAGTTCATCTCCAAAGAAACTACTGGTGTAAAGTACCTGGTCCCCTGCCTTAAGCCCTGCTTTTGCTGCATTCCCACCCCCATCTACAGCCTACATCAATTCCATTTCAAAAATTACTGTGAATCAATATCTATCAGCAAATTGAATTGACAAATAAATCTCCGATACATTCTCACATCGATGATAGAAGGAGAATCGAAACTTACAGTGATAACTACACCACCTCCTTGTTTTTGACCCAACGTCAGGCCAAGAGGCTTGTCAACCTCAACCTCTATAGCTCTTGAAGCACCAGCAGTTCTTGCAGTGATCTCAAGTCCTCTTCTCGCATGACTGGAACTGGAGCTGCTCTTTCTCTCAGCTAGGAAGAAGCCTGAGACACCCTTTTTGGCCTCTTGAAGAGACAGGCCTTGCAATGCGGTTTTCTATACATGCATGAACGAAAAGAGAGGTTTCTGTTAATTGGGGCCTTGAAATGAAAGTATTTCGAGAGAATCTGATTCTGTCACGTATTCCATTCATTACCTGACAAGTATAAGGTGTGAATGCCTTTGAAGATGGGGTTGGGGTAGCTTTGCTGGAGTGGTTCCTGCTGGTGAGGGCGGCAGAGCAAGAAGAAGAGGCACCTGCAACCACAGCTGATGACATGGTTGAACTTGGTGTAAGAACAAGTGGCAGGGAAAGAAAGATAGTGAAATAAAAGGGGAGGACTTACTGGGTTTCAGTCCGTTGCAGTTGAGTTGAGTGAGGTGGCGTGGCTTCCTCGGTGTTGTTCAAGTTGTGTGGATAGGAATGCATGACTAGATAAACTTTTAGTGGCAGTAGAAGGCTGGTACACGTTGAGAGCCACACGCCCCCGCCAGGCTACTGCCCGTCTGTCTCAAGTCCACCAATTAATCAGCTACATTGTTTTCTTTTCATCTTTTTTCCTCAAAGAAGTCTGTTAATTTGTGTGCGTCAAGACCATCCTCCAAGGTTCTTTGATCTTCCTTTCTATAAAAAGAGGCTTCAGACATCTCTCTTGAAGAGATTCAACACTATACACTAACAACAAAAACTTCAATGATCTAATAACTATTCACACTCCAATATGGATGCATAGTGAATCCAGATGGGATACTGTTAATAGTAACGGACAAGTGTTCCTTCGGTTTTTGTATTTAGGCTTAAGGCCCACTCATTCTATATCCAAGAGGCCCATCACAGATCTGGCAACTCAATGGCTAATCACCCATCTGGTTTTACAAATGAGGAACAGAACGCATGGAAGGTTCTTCCATGATGACCTGCCATGGGGGACGCTCCCAATATAAAAGGGAGGAACACGAGATATAAGGTAACCTCTCTCTCATTCTCTTCTTTCTTTACACTCAAGACTAACTTGACCTTCAAATAGAGATTCATAAAAAACTTTTTTATACTTTTTTATTTCGTAAATTTCTTATTTAATTTTACATAATTAATTATCTACGCGTTTCATCTTCAATACTTTCATATCTGACGAAAGAAGGAGGTTCACAATCACACTCTACTCATGCAGTTACTTAGAAACATGCTACCACTTTAATACTATTAGACAACGTCATCAAAATTGTTAGTAGGTACCATACTTTGAATGATCACATCAATATGAAACATATTTTTACAAACAAGCTGGTACCTGACTTAAACCTTGAAGATATAATGAACCAATGTTTATGAAACTAGATGTTGCTAACCAACGGACATTGGCATGTCCCTTTTCCAATTTTAACATTTCTTAGCTACATTTTCTCCGGCCTTTAATATGATTAAAGCAACATCACCATGCAATGTTACAAGGGGTTTTGCCATGGGCACCAGACTCATATTGTTGTAATAAGCTCTTTAATCTACTTTCTTACTTCTATATATTATTATTTCTCAAAGGTAAATGTTCATTGCGTTTTGGCCTAATATATATTGTTCAATTTTATTATCTTTCTTTGGTTCGGTTCAATTTTATCCTCACTTTTATTCAGTGGTTATCATCTTATTATTTGTGTTGTTATTATTTTATTATCAAAATAATAAAATATTATATTGTTTTAATATTTTAAAATTAAAAATCTAATATTTATTAATAAAAAATAACTTTTAAAAAATAGATATAGAGACAAGAGAGCTGTAGGTTGTAAGTAAAAGTAGAAAAATTAGAAAGAGGAGTTCCATTGTTTCAGCAACACGAAAGCTTGGAAAAGAAAGAGAAAAGAGAAATGGATCCACAGTTAACCGAAGTGTCGCAGCTATTCGAGCGATTCAAAGCTGCATTTATCAGAAATGATTACGACTCCTGCGCCAATCTCCTTTCTCAACTCAAGGTAGTTTAACCTGTTCAAAACCTAATATCTCTGTTCTTTTTTTTAAGAAAAATTATAGGTTTTCCTCTTTATTTCCTGTCGAAAAGATCGAGCCTGTGTCGTAAATCTTCAGTTTCTTTGGAGGTTTGATTATTTTAGGGTTTGGGAATTTAGGGTTTTATGTTGGATGTTTCAATTGTGAATTAGCTATCTTTGAGCTTGAAAATGGGATTGATGAAATTCATTGCGTTGCATCTAGAGGAAGTACAAAAAAAAATATTGTTTCTTTCGTTTTTTGCTCGGCAGTATTTTTCGTTAATTCGTAAAAGTTTTGATATTGAAGTGCTGCTCAGAGTGATTTGGGTTTTATTATTGCAGGTGTTGCTGACAAAGTTTAGGAGCCTTCCTCCGTTGTTCGAAAATACACCTAACGCGGTTAATGAATTGCTGTTAGCAAGTAATTCTTTTGACTCAACTGAATGGGTTTTTTTTTTTTTTTTTCATTTTGTATGTTGGTTCATCTTTAATTGAAGCACTAGCTTTCACATACTTCAAAGGATGCTATATATATTGTAACTTGTTAGTGGAAGCGTCATGCACAATAACTAAATGTAACCTGGTTTTAGAAAAAGGGCATTGGAGAACTTTGTGAGTGGTGAGAACTACTATGAAACCTTTACTAAATCTCAGATATGATGTGGAACATGCAAGTTTATTTGTTTATTTGAAGGGAGCATTAAGCCTCCTTTTTGGAGTATAGATGTGGAAAATAAAGTTTCTTTCAACTGCTACATGAAAGTTGTTTTAACTAATTGGAGTAGGCATGAGAATTTAAGTCTCTACATGTTTGAAGATTATAAATTTATCCATTGTTTACTTCTCTCTTTTTCCCTGACATTTTCAGGGGAAATTTATGAGCATGCTGTTGTCCTTAGTGTGAAGATTGAGGATCAAGATGCCTTTGAAAGGGATTTCTTCCAGTTGAAGCCCTATTATACTGATGCTGGGTTAGTTGCTTGTCTTTCAGAGCTATGATGAAAGTTTAGCTCTCTTTTTTGGGAATTTTGTCATGTCACCTTAGTATAGCTATTGTCCTGTATGTATAATTTTATATCTATGTTTAGTTTTCTTCTTCTTCTTGTTGATGTAATTTCCTCCCCTTTCTCTCTAGGTGTGTAGGATAGATGGATATATAAGAGATTACATTCTATAAAGCCCTGCATAACGATTTATAAAAGATGGATAACAATTTGTCTAAGTAGAAACATCGAGTTAGAAGGTTTAATAATTCAAAAGGACTTGTAGGTCTAAATTGTGGGATGATATCGATGACAGAAAAAATTGGAAAATTATTTTCCATATGTATGTCCAATGCTTTTTGAGTGAAATTTACCATAATGGCCTAAAAGTGTATATATTATAAAAGATATTGCTAATGGCTGGCGTCTTCTTTAATAGAAATAAGAATCTGTTGATTAAAATGTTAATATTAAGGTAGTATCTATGGATCAGATCTACATTGACTACCATGAGCATGGCCATTTTGGGTGGTCAATGAATCTGCATAGCAAAAGCTGCCAATAATGGTGCCAAGTGTCATGAAGAATAATAGTGTAACTTATCCTCTATTTTCTGAACTCGTCTGCGTGACCCTGATTAAGTTTGCTGTCCACTTGCCAAATTCTATGCTTCCAACTCTTGCACATTTATTAAAGTATGGGGAAACATGTGTAAAAGATGTCTTTCTACACTTCAGATCATCTACAATGTGCTGTAGAGGAATTCCATTTTGTACCCACTCCTAAACATTTCTCGGTTGTTGTATTTCCTTCATTAATTTTATCTTGTGCCACTTCTCTATATAATTAGTTATATCTCCTTTTTTCAGTTTTGTAAGAATTTAAATGGTTACAGAAATTAAATAGGTTGTTGTAGGATTATGTTGCTACATTGGATTTGTTAAACTTGTCCCATTTAAACAAATTTTCTGTATTTATATATTTTGTAATCAAGGTTGTAAGTACACTTCCACTTCTTACGATGTGCGTACTCGTATGTGCTTATTACGTTTTTATCTCGAAGACTATCCTTTAGTTTATGGAAGTGATGCTAATTATTATACTTTTCTTTTGATTGAGCAGTAGCCGCCTTCCGCCATCCCCTCAAGAGTACCCGATTTTAGGTCTTAATCTCTTGAGACTTCTTGTCCAGAATAGGATTGCTGAGTTCCATACTGAATTGGAGCTGCTTTCAGCCACTGCTTTAGAAAATCCTTGCATCAAGCATGCTGTGGAGCTGGAGCAATCGTTTATGGAAGGGGCTTACAACCGTGTGTTGAGTGCCAGACAGACTGCACCACATGAAACTTATGTTTATTTCATGGATCTCTTGGCAAAAACAGTGAGGTAAGCGATTATCTTTGATGGATGGTGATAGTTTTGGGGGACAAGAAAGTTGAAACATGACAAAGGGGGACAAGAAAATTGAAACGTGACAAAACTTTATTTAAATTTGGTTGTATCCACAATTTTTTTTTTTGAATAGCGGTTGTATCCACGATTATTTTGAACCTAAGTTCATTTAATGACTTTATAACATCAGTGCTGATGGTGCTGCCTGTTTTGACCACCTGAGAGTTTCTTGCTGGTGGCACTTCCATGTTCATATGCTACTTTTAAGTAGTAGAGTCTTCTCTACAATTTCTTCTAGTGCATTGCTCAATACTTGTTAGAATAACTATTCATAATTTGTCGTTTTCAGAGATGAAATAGCTGGATGCAGTGAGAAGGCATATGATTATCTTTCAATTGATGATGCCCGACAGATGTTGCTGTTCTCATCTGATCAAGAACTTTTGGAGTACATCAAAGAGGTTAGCATTTGTGTAAAGAGTAATTAAAAAATTATTGTCAAAGGCTTTGGCATACAAGCTTAGTTGGACCTGTCCCCTTAAGTTGCAGGAGCATCCTGACTGGGAGGTGAAGAATGGATTTGTCTTTTTCCAGAAGGCCAAAGAATCTGCGCCATGCAAGGAGATTCCATCCCTGCAACTGATCAACCAGACTCTTAGTTATGCAAGGGAGTTGGAGCGGATTGTCTAGGGAAGTTGCTGTAATGATTGCTTTCCCTCCTGCTTATGGCACTCAATATCACTTGACATCAATTCTGTGATTGTGGATTTTACTTTCTACATCCATTATGAAACTTAAAGTTGTTGAGATTTCATTTTTCAAATTCTTTACATTAGTGGCACCAAATTGCTAGGATTACAACAGGGAATGGACCTCCCCTTTCGTTTTCCTGCCTGGCAGGTTGTTTTGTGTAAACTTTTTAATCATCTTGTGATTTAAAGAGCAGTCTGATGATTGATATGTTAAAATGAATTAAACTTAGGGAAGAAATAATGAATCAGTCAATTTCAATAGGTGAAGAGGGAAAACACAGTGGCCATTAGATGTCAGTGATCAGTCAGTGTATGGAAATTCTAATCATGTGCTTAACGTGTGTGTGTGCATTTGATAATGATATATGTGTTTTGCAAAGCACTTGATGGCGATTGCTGCTTTGTTATTGGACTCAAGCATAGTGTAACGGACATTAGCGTCCCATGTCTTATTTGATTATGTTTTTGAAAAGGTTTGGTGGTTAACCATTATCCAAGTGGGAGCGGTTAATTGAAAGGTGATCCACTCCAATGGGTGTAATTGTGAATTATTATCAGTATTGAAGGGGAGTGTGAAGGTTTGAGTATTATATTTTACTTGGAAAAAAAGAAGGGCATGGTCAAGTGATTGTTGGGTGTGGTCATGAGATGTTATTGTTCCTCCTCAGATAATTGGTTATTAGCTTCTTGATAATGAGTACTAACAATAGCAATTCCACAGATTTGACACAATCTTCTTCTGCTCTGTCGAAAGCATTGTCCAATGGCCTTATCCCTTTGTAAGGCATGAAACAATGAAAACATTAGCAAACTAGATATTAGTAACACCTAGGCTAGGCTAGGATCTTATCAATCGTGATTTGTGAAGCTGTGGGTTGTATCATTAAGCTTGCGTGTACATGACAATGCATTTAGTAGCAAGTGGAGGAGGATATACCATGGTACCCCAAAAAATGAAAAACAATGTGGTGGTTGTCTAGAGTAGAGAGGAGTATTTGTATTTGAAGACAAATTAGAATAATTTAACAAGTAAAGCAAAAAAAATTCTCAAGGCTAATTTTAGACAAATCAATGAAAAAGTCTCAAACTATTAGGAAAGTGAGAAAGATGTGCTAGGCTTTGTAGGGACGTAAAGGGGACTGAAAGATTAAAAAGGAACACCACTCTACACAGGAGTGTAGATGCTTAAGTCCCAACTTTTGTCCTCAATTCAGTAGTCACCTTTTATCACTACATTAATTATCAGAGAAGTCACCGACGAAATTCAAGCAGAAGGTTCACGAGTTTTTTGATGTTTTAAATGGTATGTTAAATTTCGTTTATAATATATATATATATATATTTTTAAGGTAATGGTCAAAATATAATTCGTGATAATCATGTAAAATAAAGTAATTGTTTTCTAAATGTACGTAAATGGGGACTTGGTTCGGATAGTTGAACAAGGAGGTTAAAAATACATCAATATACAAGTCAACTGCATTTAAGTGGTGGACAAAGGCGGATGAATATATTGTTAGGATATCCAAGCATACGCGGTTGGAACGCGTTTCTCATTTTTCCTAAACCCCAAAATAATAATAATAATAATAATAAACAACCCATTTGGAGGAACATTGTTATTTTCAAAGGCTACAAACCTAATATTCCTATTACTCCCTCCTCTTTTAAATCTCTACATTCCATTCAACCTTTTTTTTTTTTTTTTTTACTTTACGTCTTTTTCACTCGACCGTGCTTTCTTTCTTTTTCTAATATCAAACCTAATATTCCCATTCCCATGCCCAGGTAAGAGGTTAAGGCCTTGAAGCATGCTTCTTTGCTCCACCTTTATCTTCTTTTTTTTTTATTTCATAACCGACGAGACTTCGTTCTCATGTAAGGTATCGGCTTTATTACATTCTTATAAAATAAACAAGAATAGAATATTGTTTAAATGAACTACCTCATACATAATATTTTTATTTCCCCTTTTTTTTTATCACCGGTAACTCTTACGTTTTTTTTGTTTTGTATTTTCAATATTTATTTTATTCTAATTTTAAAAATATTATAATATTAATATATATATATAATCATCTTATTATTAAATTAAATCTTGAATATTCAATTTAAGATAAAAAAAATCTAATTTCTTTTTTTAGGGAAAAAAAAAGAAGAATAATTACTGCAGCTTTATAATAAAACTTAAAAGCGCAAAAGTAAAGGTAATTGGGAGATGGAAATTCCTTTATCCAAATCTATACGGAATCGGTCCTTTGCTTTCACGATATTTTCACTAATATTTGAACGACGCCCAATTTCCAGTTTGGGCCGCAAAGTCGTAAGACCGTACCCGTCCAAGTACAAAAAACTCTCACCCGATTAAGGACAAAACCGTCATTTAGTAACAACCGTTTCGCTTCAACCAATGACTAACACCGTCACTTAACACCACGTTACCCCACAACTAACGGTCTACCAGAATATTCCATCCTCAATCCGTATAGAAAGGATAATTATTAAAACTAAAAAGGCATTTAAACTCCGTCCAATTACATCTACCTCCCCTATGTTCCTTTACAAAATAATAATAAATTGATATAATTATATTTAGATGAAGTGCACAATTTTCAAGTTATTATCAAAATTCGAAAGTGAAAATTCTCCAATTATTTTAAAAATTATTATTCATGAATTGAAAATAAATTTTTTAAATTTTATAAATAAATTTAAATATATGCCACATTCAACCGGTAATATAATTATAGCTAAGGAAATTATAATCTTGATGTAATTGATCTATAAACGTGTAAAACATTTTAGGGTCGATTTATAACATAAAATTTTCTAGAAAAAAACAAAGAACCGAAAGTCAGCGCTAGAGTTCCGTCATAACGGTTGCGAAAAAGAAAACGGTTCGTTGGCCTAAGGGGTGTTAGCGGTTAGGTGCGGTGTTAGGCGGGCAAAGAAGGAAAGAGAGAGAATGCGGTGAGTCTCGCATCGGCATGATTCTTCCACTTAACTCTTTTTTCTTTTTCTTATATAAAGACCACTTATCGGGGGGAAATAAATCTATCCATCATCACAGTTGTTTCTTTCCTTTCGTTTCTCCTCTCTTTATATATTTTCTCTGCGTTTTTGTAGTTCTTTGGTTTTTCGGTATATGGCAGCCAATTGGAAGAGTGGTGGAGGGATCGCCAGCTTGGGGAAGCGACTTCTTGACCACACCTCTACTCGACACCCAACTCACTTCAACGCCACCACCACTCCCTCTCAGCCTGCTGCTGCTGCTGCTGCTTTCACTACCAGGTTCTCTCTAGCTTGCCCTTTTTTCCCATCATTTCCTTAACACTTTTTTTGAATGTTTTTCTCGATAAGGCTATGGTTTGCGTTTGATTTGACTGTGCTTGCTGAATTCCTGACACACTACTACTTCTTTCCCCTCATTTTTCTTGCTTCTACTATGTTGTTTTCTATTTTTTTAAGAAAATTGTTAAAAAAAAACTGTTTTTCCTCAGTACCATGATTTCTATAGTATTTTTTCTTTTGGGAAAATTGTTCCCAATGATATTTTTTTTCATATGATTTTCTTATATATATTTGTTATGAAGATTGCATTCAAATCGAGTATCATTTTGGTTTGGTTAGATGAATTACTAAATTTGATGGATCTCCTTTGAGTATTTTGTCCCATCATTTTACTAGTTCTTAATTCTTAATTAATCTAAGTTATACTAATTATATAATTAATTTTGATTTTTTCCTCTTTTAATCCCAATTATTAACTTAATCGAAATTTGTTATTTTTTAATTTTGTTACTGTATATAGTATAACAGTTTTTTTCCAGAAAAATAAAAATAGGAAAAAAAAATTAAAAGCTACTTAATTAAAATAATAGCGGTGGACAGGTTATTGCAATAATCGATAATCTCGTACAGGATGGGAAAATGCCGTACTTGGTGCGGGTGGGTCTAAGGAAAGGATAACCGGATAAGGACACACTGCTCTTTTGTCTCCTATTGGACACCTGTCCTTTCCCGGGGCACTTAACCCTTTTTTTTTTTTGGACTTTAGTGAAAATTACGTTTCTTTTTTCCTTCTTTTTTTAATAAATAAAATTATTATTTTCGTTTTATTAAACTTATTGTATTCACATTTATGTCATCGAATTCATATTTATTATTTTTTTGAGGAATATAATAATTATATAAAATTAAATAGTACTACGTAATATCAATCATATTCTCTATAGTCAATATTGGCTATAATTGAGAATTTGTATATGAATAATTACATTAATTATTTTTGGCTACATAAGTTTTATGTTTAATGTAATAAGTTTTCTTAAAGTGAATTTTTAATCCTTCTTTGTTACGTGTTACTTTTAATTAATGATAATAAATTGTTTAAATAAAATTTAAGAAATATTGACTTCTTGTGTGGTTGGCGTGCAAATTACGTCGGGTGGATCTTTTATAAAACCAGACCTGGACTGGCCACAGCCGACATTGTAATTATTTATAATAATGTTAAAGATTTTCAAGGGAAATGTTTTTTAATTAATAAAACTTAATGCAAGAAAAAGAAGGAACAAGGAAAAAAAAAAAGAAGGTTTGGTCGGTTGGAGGTTGTTTTCTGATGGGAGTCATAAGCGCGTCACGTGTCTTGTCAAACACTATTTTTTGGTTGTTGGAATCGAATGGAATGGTATTATCTTGACTCTCTTGACTCTTGATGCTGTTACTAACCCTTCCACATGATACATCTACACCTAACCTCACACTCTTTTCTACTAGTATAATTTGGTCAAATTGTAATTATCAATTACATAATTTACTGTTCAAGTTAATCTAGAAGGCTAGTCTGGTTGCCCATGTTTCATGTAAATGATGATTATCCTATGCGCAGGAGTGCACACGCATCGGCATATGACAAGAACCTGGATGATCAGGTCCGTCCAACTGTGGTACCTGATGATCTGATTAAGCCTCAATCAGACAAGTACTGGGCTCCACACCCGCAGACTGGGGTGTTTGGCCCTGCTACCGACCTCAACGCATCCGCCGACGGGGACCGTGCCAACGTTGCCGTGAACTCGGTCCTGGAGGAGAAGGCCTGGTTCCGCCCCACAAGCATTGAGGACTTGGAGAAGCCACACCATACATAAAGAAAAGGCGTGCTTTTAGCAGTCTTGCTTCCGGTCTAATAAAGTGCAGTTGAAAAACCCTGGTTTAATGTTTTTATGGTTTGGCTGGTAGGAACATACATTTATATCTATATATATAGTTGGGGTATCTAGCTTTAATAGTAGTGTTATATGGGAATTTGAATATCTAGTTACTATCACCTTTGTAACAAACGAACGTGTGTTTGTAATGCCTGCTGCCTGGTATCTTACTACAATAAAAGGTTTGGTTATGATGTGTATGGTGTCAGCTGTTAATTGCTGCGACTTTGTTGCCTTAGCTGTTGAATTCCCAGCCAACCAGACAAATGGTGGTCAACTGGGTGATGCGGATGGTCAGACCTGGCAATGTTATGGCTTTGCTGTTCCTATTGGAACAAGTGCCATCAGATAGCATGTGCAAATTGTCTTTAAAAAGGAGTGGCGTCGGACCCAACTGGGGTAGGAGCGAGTTACTGACGGAGTATGAATTTTGTGTTTAGAGAGGAGAATAGTTGAAGATAATATAAAATAATTTAGATAAAAAAGATTTATATAAAAATATATAAATAGATTTTAAGACTTATTCAAAAAATCAATTTTAATAATTTATTTAAAAATTTAATTGATATAATCATAAATAATTATAATAATCTCAATTTTTAAATAAAATTAACAATAAATAAAAATTAACAAATAGAATAACAAAAATTTCAATGGAATTCATTCAAAAAAATTAAAAGTTATCAATAAACAATTCAATGAGAAATAATTTTTTAAAATTAATCACAATAATTAAATACAATATCAATAAACAATTTAAATAAAAAAGTAATCCAGAATAAAAAACTTAATTTTTCACGATAATATAACTAAATAAAAAGAACACAAATAATTTGTAGGAAAGCAATCAAATAATCCCTAGATAAATAAGTAATAACAAACATTAAGTGCTTAATCAAATTCTTGTTTTATTATTTTCAACAAAAAATGACTAAATCGGTAAATCTTAAATCAAAATCACTAAGTAAAAATTATTAAATAAAAAAATTTAAAATTTAAAATATCAAAAATAAAATAAGTAAATAAATCAAACTTACCAATTATGATGACATAAAAATTGGGTTATCGACTAAAAGTTTTTTGTACAAGAATGCTGGAAAGAAAAAAGGTGTAATTTTTTTTTGTTTCTTTAGTATTTGGCCAAAGGAAAAAAGAACAATAGAGGGTTGTCGTGAGATTTAGAGAAGTAGGGTTTAGAAATAATTCTATTGTAATAGGTTTTATTTTAATCATATTATAAATTTGTTGTTAACTAATTATTATGGGACATCTCACCAAATAAAAAATTATTGCATGCATAAAATTATAAAAAAAATAAAATATGTTAATTTTTTTTAAAATTTTGATAAAGATGAAATTATTAAATTTTAAAAAATAAAAATAAATTAGAAAAACTTTGAAATTTTTTGAAGGGTGGGGCCCTCGCTAACCCCACCTCCCCCCTTCACCTCTAGGGCGAGCAAAATCAAATCAGACTAATTATTTATCTAAATCAAATGCAATTTTGGTAAAACAATTCGATTTAATTGGTTCATTGGATCAATTGATCCAAAATATTTAATTTAATTAGTTTTTTTATCGGTTTTTCGTTTTAAAATTTTTAGACTAATTTATCCAAAAAACCAAACTCATTATATATATTAATATATATAATATTTTTTATATATATTAAGAAGAATTAATATTAAACTTAATTAATAATATACTTAAAATATATTTCTTTATTATATGTACATATACAAATCATAATCATAGTAATTTAATTATATATATATATATAAATCTATATTAATATGAAATTACAAGTTATATAGTTTAAACGATATAACTTATATGTTAATTTTATAATATATGATAACAAATATCATATATATTAAAGTAAAATACTTTTATTCCCTAAGTTTTGATCGTAATTATATAGAAGTCTATTAATTTTCAAAATAAATATTCCATCTAAAATTTTTTTTTACTATACACTTAAATTTAACCGTTAGTCAATTATTAATGTTTTCATCAATTTGATAACGTGATAAAAATAAAAAAATAATTTTATTCTTAATTACTTCTTAAAATTATTATTATATAATTTTATTAATTAAAAAAAATCCCTAAAGAGCACCGGAGCTTCTTTAGGGAGCCATGATCAAGCTCCCTAAATGAGCATTGGTGCTCCCTTGGCGAGCACTAAATCTAAGGGTGCACGGGCTCCCCGAGAGGAGCATTGGTGCTCCCCTTCTTTTGGGGAGGACTAGTCGATGCTCCCCTTTCTTAGGGAGTTTGGGAGCACCCATTTGTATTTTTTATTTATTTTTTAAAAATATAATAATAATTTTCAAAATTAATAAAGAAAGAAATAGTATTTTAATTTTTTCTTAATTTTTGTTAATAGTGTTTACATTTTTGAGATGGAGTATTTATTTTGAAAAATAATGGACTTATTTGAAATTTCAACTAAAATTTAAAAAGAGAGGGTATTTTACCCTATATATTAATATGTTAGAGTTATTACACCTTAGTAATGTTTCTTAATATATAATGTTATGAATATATATAATTGTATAAATATTATATATATAATTTATACATAAGCATCACTATAACTTATAATATTTATTTATATGATTACACTTAATAACCTTATTAATTATCACTCAAGTTTTTATAATATATTATTTATAATTAGTTATTATTTATACAAACTTTTATATAAAATATTATAACATATAAGTTATGTTATTAATTTCATATATACACAATAAAACAATATATTATATATATATTTAATTTATATATAAGCATTACCGTAATTCATAATAGACTTTATTTATATGATTATACTTAATAATTTTATTAGTTATCATTTTCATTTTTACAACATATTGTTACAATTAGTTATTATTTACACAAATTTTGTTATAAAAATTAAATATTATAACATATAAGTTGTGTCATTAATTTCATATATATAATGAAGTAATATTATATACATATACGTATATTTAATTTATAAATAATTTGTATATATGTTTTATAATTATAGATTAAATTTATAAATTTTAATATAATAATTTGTAAAAAAAGTGATAAAGTTTTGATTTATTGATCCAAAACTAAACCGATCAAACCAATTCTATATTTGATCGGTTTAATTTTTTTTTTATATGATCGATTTTGATCAATTTTCTACAAATGCTTGATCTATTTAGTTTTTAGGTATCATAGATCAAAACACCTAATTTATCCATTTACTCATTCCTAGGGTAGGGCTCTGGACAAATATGTGGTTTTTGAGTAGCGTAGGGAAGACGTGTCGGACCAAACTTTTGTGATTGCTTTCTCTAATTAATTTCGATGCTTTAATTAGATCACGTAATTTCATTCAACTTGTCTAGATAATGGATACGATTCAGCCTTTAACACCCATCTCAGAGAGAAATGCTATGATGCTTTTGTTCTAGTTGGGTAAACCTATGAGGGTACAATTTGCTGGATTCTGTTATTCATTTGAGGAAGATAATGTCACCTGAAATTATTTATAGATTTTCAAGTACCAAATAAGAGGATAATGTCACAACCAAATACAAAATTAAAATTAATACTATCTTTTAATTAAAAATTTATTTTCTTTTCCTAAGACAAGAAATCAGCCTAGCTGACAGCTTTGTCATCAGAAAGGACTATCTGTGGTTAGGGATTAACAGGGCATGTTGCCTAAATATCTCATACCTAGGAAAATTTTTGGAGGAAATTGACAAAGAGGACAAACAAAATTGAGATCAGGGTTTAGCCATGTTGCTTATTGCCTGCTACTGCTAGGGTCTGTTGTCCTGCTTCTACCCAACGGTGAAAGGAAGAAATGGGAGCCCATTTGGCTGTGGAAGGTTTAGACAATCAGCAATACAAGCAACATGCTAACATCTGGCCCCCTCTGCTTCCCTTTGTTGGGTAGAAGTCACTTTTCAACCCTTCTGGAAGATAGCCCTTCAATTAGGGTAGAAATATGACTTATGTAAGATATAGAAATAAACTATCCTTGAAGACATCCTTCAGTTAGGAAAGACCTGGACAAAAACTAAGAAGATATGCTGGAAGTTGCTATCCCTGATAAATGTAAGATAAGATCGACCATCCAAGTTGGCATAACACTTGTGATGAGGGACCATGTTTGATACAATTACTATTTTATAATTATGAAAATTTAACCCTCCATGAAGTAAGACATGACGTCCGATCTGCAAGAATTGACAGATGACAGCCATGAACGATCAACATAGAAATCCAGGTAATGCCTTATCTTAGAGGTATCATCTAAACAGAAGTGCAAAAAAGCATGTCAACAGGAATGTCATTATCACTAGCAATATCAGTAACAGCTGAGGCATAACATATAAAACTCACTTCTCAGGTTTAAATATCAGTAGTAGTTGGACAGTTGAATGTCTATCAACTATAAACACAACTCTCAAAGATCATATTCTTTGACAAAACATCATTTAATTTTCAATCTGGAGGTGTTTCCATTGTAGTACTATCTGTGGCAATCTTCACACTAAATGCTGATTCTTATACAAATTAATCGATTTAATAATAATAAAATTAATACTATACCATTTATAATTTTACCAGAGTGCCAAGTGCAACAAGCACCATCAACCTAGTACATTTGGTGAAGTGAAGCAAGTTTTTGAGGAGTCACATTGGTTGACATTGACAGGTATCCTAAGGAGGCTTCACTGCTCATAGCATCTCCTAATATAAAGATTTTTTTTAATATTATCCCCACACCCTGGTGAGAAAACAAAATTGAACTATCAAGAGTGAAGATATAAGAAATTAAGTGATGAAAACAAGGATGTTAAACAAAAAATAAGAAAAAAGAAGGGAGCAGTTAAGCAGCCCTACAGGTCTTTCCATTCTGCTGCCTTATTACTCTGATAATATTTGAGCGAAAGCAGTTGAATTAAGAACATCTGCTACAATCCAGGATGGGATAATTTCCCATAGTGACCATAAAGCAATGGCCCAGTTCTTGTCTCCACATACCAAGTAGACTTTGGCTCTAGTACAAAAATTAGTTCAGCATTCTTCAAAATTTCTTCCAGTCATTTTACAATACCTTCAACACCAACAAAGATGGGCTAATCTATTTTTTCATTCCTACTATGATCCTCTACCAACCAAAGTAATTTTGAAAGCCATTTATTCATCATACATTCTAAAGTACAGCATGTGCCAATAACCATTAAGCAGACTAAAAAAGGTTTTCCACACAGCCTGAAACTCGTATATCCCTCTCTGTCCAACAAGCAACAGAGAGTGATCTCAACTAACAAATAATCGCAACCTCATTACAGTATCACATAGTAACCCCCTGATGTTTTAGATGCAGAATCCATTATAATTGTCAGAGAACTCCTGATTTCTATTGAAGAAGAAGGAATCAATCTTAACAATTGCTCTTACAGGGATGAAGTGTAAAAATGCCCACAGTTCTCCAATAATCTAGATTGCTTCAACAAAAGCTTTCTTTTCATTTAAATCGGGTGAAACTCACTGATAAAATTAGTAAAGCCCAGTGGCATTACATGATAGCAGTTATATTAGCATAGGCTTTCTCTCCTCATCTGCAATAAAAAACCAGGGACCAAACAGTAGATCAACTCTTCACTATTTACAGTTAATTTTGTATCCTATGTAAGTGAATATATTATCCTACTGAACACCTTCATGTCACATTTCTACCTGCTTCCAACCAAAATTTTCTTCAGGAGTTTATAAAGTCTGCCATTAAACACTCTTTTCCCCATGTTTGTCCATTTCATCTTCTTTCTGTCACAGTTTCCAACTTTTTGTCAAGAATACCATCTTAATTTGTGCTAGGATTAATTTTGATGAAATCTCAACCTTGAAGACAAGGCAATGAATGGGGCATTCAGGAAATAGCTTTCAGAACCTTAATTTTCGCTGTCAGGCAGTAACTCCTGCAGGTTATGAACATACTGTTAGAAGAAAAAAAAGACCACTCCAACTAAGATGCCTACTTCCCAATGCATCATTACCTACTTAATCAATTTCCGATAGTTAATATATTTTAAGTCCATGTTTGAGCAAGGTGTTCCAATTCCCAAAGACAAATCTATATAGTTTACCTAATTAGACATCTTTGTTCTGAAATATTATGAAAGGACAAGTGTAGCTTAGCTAAAGCTGCAGCAATGCGAAATGAAAATAACATGAGCAGACAATATATCTTTAACATCAAACAGAGTCACCAAACACCAAGCTAGAATACTACAACAATAAAAAATTTAGAGAACTATTGGGTTCTGATCTGGGTTATTAGTTATTAGCTATTACCAGCTTCAAAATCATTTATGTACCTAAGATCAGTTTAATACTTACAATGCCTCCGTTCAAGTACCATCAAGGCAGTTTGTAACATTTGCCTAGCCTTCCTATCAGGAGTGCATCCAGAGGATTCCATTTCCCTATATATTTCAGGAACCTAGCCAGCAAAAGGCAACCATGCATTAGCAAAATGTCAGATGTGATATATTTGCAGCTAATTAAGTAACTTCAGAGAATTCAATTACAGTTACCACCTTATCAAATTTCTTCACTCGAATAAAAGCTTTCATGAGAGTACTATAAGTAATCACATCGGGACTAATACCCTTCAAAACAATAAGAAAATCAGAATAAAGATTAATTAATGGAGGAAATTAAGAGTCCTGCACTACGAATTATTATGCCTACCCTAAAAAAACACAGACAAAATTTATCAAATTCACCCATATCCATGCATAACATAAAGGGCTCACACTGTCTCTTATATGGTAGTAAATGGATAATGCCTCCTCATGTCTCCCAGCAATACCAAAGGCATTGATCAACACATTCAGCATCACAATGTTGGGTTCAATGCCTTCAGCCTCCATGATTTGAAGAACTTTAACTGTCTGTTCACAAAACCCCTGCAAAACAAAAAAGTTTATAGACCATTCATGGAAAACAAATTTCATCCTTTTGTCAAATAAATTTTACATTCACCAACTTAAACTTGAAAGTGGTGACCGACAAAGATGCCATCCAATGTATATTATTTCATCAGAAAGATATCATCAGTTATCCTTTAGCAAAGAAATAAAGAAATGGAAGGCTAGTTCTGTTAGCCTCTGAAGCCAAAAATCCTCTTAAGATTAGGACAACTTTACAGCCAGTAAAGTCTCTCAAGGTTCATTTTTTATCTAAAATTACACTTAATCCTCATCAGCAACTATAGAAAAAGAGCTATATTCTGATTGTAGGCTTCACATGAAAGCAGGATATTGTTTTGGGAGGTGTTGAAGCAGGTATATATCATGGGGAAAATTAAATTTGGTGTTCAGCGTAAGAACTGTTGCATATAATTCAAAATCATGCACGATGAAGAATTTAAAATAAAAAACCAATAAAGCATCATCTCTTGCAAAAGTGTATGAACATAAAAGACAAAGCCAGCAGCATGAAAAAAAATGAAAATGAATAAAGATTAAAAGATTGAAAATTCTGAAAAGACAGAAAGGGGACAGTGGACCTGCTGTGCATAAGCATTAGCCAAGACACAAAACATGCTAGCGGAAGGCAGGAGACCTTCTGATTTTAGAGCAGATATGCAAACCTCAGCATCTTGAAATCTCCCATATTGTCCATAAATATCAACTAAGATCGCATAAATGGCACCAACATCTTGATGTCCCCTAGATTTCATGTTCTCAAAGTTTTTCTTTATTATACCCCACTTCCCCAGCTCTCCCAATCTACTAATAAGACTCATGAAGATCTTTGGGTCAGGGTATAATCCTTGTTCCTGCATCTCAGTAAACAACTCAAGAGCCTTGGTGAGATCTCCAGCCTTACAGTGCCACAGAATCAAAGAATTCCATGTTGTAATGTCAGGCCTTATACTTTCTTGTTTCATTTTCTCAAAGACTTCTAAAGCTTCACTTAACTCTCCATATTTTCCAAAAGTATCAATAATGCTGTTATAGATCTGCCTGTCTAAAGATATACCTTTCTCCCTAATCTCCTCCACGATGCCTATTGCCTTCCTCCACATCCCGTTGTCTCTATAAAGACAAATAATCTTACTATACACAAACGAATTCAGATGAATCCCTTTTTCCTTCATTACATTAACTACCATCCATGTATCTTCCAACCGTCCGGCATTAACATAATAATCTAAAAGAATCTCATACGTTTCCTGATTTTTACAAACACCCATTTCATCCATTACCATCAGAACCTTAACTGCTAACCCCAACAACCCTTTCCTCAAAAACCCTTTAAGCAAAACATTAAACAACCTTATCCTTGGCTTAAGTCCAAGACATATCATTTCTTGAAACAAAGCATCAGCTTCCAATGTCCTACCAACACTTCCCAAACTCTCAATCAGAAAACCATAAGAAATAGAATTTGGATGAAAACCCATAGCCTCCATATGAGCGACGAGTTTCATAGCATTATCTACATCCCCTAATTTGCAATACCCCTGAATTGCGTGGTTGTGTAACCCAGAGGTAAGCTCTTGTCCACTATTAGACAGAAATGGGTACTTAAAAATGGGGTTTTTCTTGTTGAATTCTGTTAAAGCACCTTGCTTGAGTCTTTTATAATTGTCCATTCTGGAACAACATATAAATTTTAAGTGTCTGTGGTTTAGACAAAGTCTGAAACAGCTACCGTGAGTTAAAAGAGGAACTGATGAAGTAAGATGCATCTTACATGGCCATGTAAACTTCATATATCTTCAACGGCCACGTTCAAACTATGTAACCGAAAATAAAAAGGAAAAAAGGATAAGGAATAGTTGAAGAAATAAACAAGAAGAAAATAAAATAAAATTAAGTTAAAGTTCTTACCTTAAGTTTACCATTCCTTGTTCTTTCTTATGTTAGTCAAGAGAAGTAAGCGGAACCAGAAGCTGTCGTACTTCTTGTTTTTATTTTCCTCATATTTCCTTTTTATGTGGGTTGTGATGGAATTTACCCGGGTCGGGAGTCAAATAGACTCTTGATGGGCCACTGAACCCAAAAGCAAACTCAAAGCCATTTGCCACCCTACTTTTAAAAAAAAAAAGAGAAAGAAACCGAAAACAACTTGTTGATAAACGAGGAGTCAGTACACATCCACGGTCTACACCCCGCCAAAAGCAATGGAGAATTATCTTTTATCTTAGTCTTCCCCGGTGTTCCACTTAAATGTTTAGAAGACAAGAAGACATCGGCTATGGCCACGTCCTGCACTGGAGGACTTCTACCCTTTGCTTCTCCCTCTTCAAAGGTTTGCAAAAACACCTCTGTCTCTTGCTCTTCTTCCCGTCACTCAACTCCTCTACCAACTGAACAAGCAAATGATAGTAATAGTAATAACAGTAGTTCTAGCAACAAATTTAGCTACGGTAGAGCCTCCCCATCTGAGAGATGGCCTCACCTTCAACTTCAACTAGCTGAAACTTACCCTTTAAGCCAAACCCATTTTTCAGCTACCCCTCCTCAACTGACCCATGCAGTTAAAGAAGTTGAATTGTCTTTAGAATCCTCAACGTCTGAATCCATGGAAGTGAATGATGAGACCCAGGAAAAGTTGGGGAGAGTTAGTAAGACTAGAGTTAAGAAAATGACTAAATTGGCCTTGAAAAGGGCCAAAGATTGGAGAGAAAGAGTGAAGTTTTTGACCGACAGGATTTTGGATTTGGAACAAGACCAGTTTGTTGCTGATGTTTTGGATGATAGGAAAGTTCAGATGACACCAACTGATTTTTGCTTTGTAGTGAAATGGGTGGGTCAGGAGAACTGGCAACGTGCCCTGGAAGTTTATGAGTGGTTAAATTTGAGACATTGGTATTCTCCTAATGCCAGGATGCTAGCTACTATCTTGGCTGTGTTGGGGAAGGGCAATCAGGAGGTTTTAGCTGTTGAAATCTTTACCAGGGCTGAGCCTGCTGTTGGGAATACAGTCCAGGTTTATAATGCTATGATGGGTGTTTATGCGCGAAATGGGAGGTTTCAAAAGGTGCAGGAACTGCTTGACTTAATGCGCGAGAGAGGGTGTGAACCTGACCTCGTGAGTTTCAATACCTTAATAAATGCTAGATTGAAAGCAGGAGCTATGTTGCCTGATTTAGGGGTTGAGCTTTTGAATGAGGTGAGGAGGTCTGGTCTTAGGCCAGATATAATAACATATAATACTCTTATTAGTGCTTGTTCTAGGGAATTGAATTTGGAGGAGGCAATGAAGGTTTTTGATGATATGGACAGTCATAATTGTCAACCAGATATATGGACGTATAATGCTATGATTTCGGTTTATGGGAGATGTGGGATGGCATATAAAGCTGAGCAGCTTTTTAGAGATTTGGAGTCTAAAGGATTTTTCCCAGATGCAGTCACGTATAATTCATTGTTGTATGCTTTCGCAAGAGAAGGAAATGTGGACAAGGTGAAAGAGATTTGTGAAGAAATGGTTGAAATAGGGTTGGGTAAAGATGAGATGACCTATAATACAATTATACACATGTATGGGAAGCAGGGCCAGCATGATTTGGCATTGCAGCTTTACAGGGACATGAAATTGTCAGGGCGGAATCCAGATGTTGTTACATATACTCTCTTGATTGATTCCCTAGGGAAAGCAAATAAGATAAAAGAGGCTTCTAATGTGATGTCAGAGATGTTGGATGTAGGTGTTAAACCTACTGTGCGGACTTATAGTGCTTTGATTTGTGGGTATGCCAAGGTTGGAATGGCAGTGGAGGCTGAAGAGACATTCAATTGCATGCGGAGGTCTGGGATTAGACCTGATTTCCTGGCATACTCTGTCACGTTAAATATCCTTTTGAGATGTAATAAGACAACAAAGGCATTGTTGTTGTATCGGGAAATGGTCCGTGATGGCTTCACACCAGATCATACCCTTTATGAGGTAATGCTTCAGGCACTAAGAAAGGAAAACAAAGTGGAAGATATTGAAAAGATGGTTAGAGACATGGAAGAACTATGTGGTATGAATCGCCAGGCTATTTCTTCTTTTCTTGTCAAGGGTGAATGCTATGATCTTGCTGTGCAGATGCTGAGATTGGGCATCAGTAATGGCGATGAACTAGATGGCGAGAATTTGTTGTCTGTTTTGAGTTCATACAGTTCATCTGGCAGGCACAAAGAAGCATGTGAACTGCTTGAGTTCTTGAAAGAACATGCTGAAGGATACAATCAACTAATTACGGAAGCTCTAGTTGTCATGCTTTGTGAGGCTTGCCAGTTAGATGCTGCCTTGAAAGAGTACAGTAATGCTAAAGATTCTGTTTTTTTTAGTAGTTCTACCATGTTTGCATCCCTTATTCGGTGCTGTGAAGAAAATGAACTTCTAACTGAGGCTTCTCAGATATTTTCTGACTTGAGATTCTATGGTGTTGAACCTTCTGAATGTATCTTCAAAAGTATGGTAAAGGTATATTGCAAAATGGGCTTCCCTGAGACAGCACATTGTTTGATTAATCAGGCTGAAATGAAAGATATTCTGCTTGAAAATTCCTTTATTTATTTGGATGTTATTGAAGCTTATGGGATTCTGAAGCTATGGCAGAAAGCTGAAAGTGTGGTAGGCAATGTTAGACAAAAATATGTGACTGTGGATCGGAAGGTCTGGAATGCCTTGATACAAGCTTATGCTGCAAGTGGTTGCTATGAACGAGCAAGAGCTGTTTTTAATACTATGATGAGAGATGGTCCTTCACCAACAGTAGATTCCATTAATGGTCTCTTGGAAGCACTGATTGTCGATGGAAGATTGAATGAGCTTTATGTGGTAATTCAGGAGTTGCAAGATATGGGTTTTAAAATAAGCAAGAGTTCTATTCTTCTGATGCTTGATGCATTTGCACAAGCTGGAAACATCTTTGAGGTGAAGAAGATATACAATGGAATGAAAGCTGCAGGGTATTATCCTACAATGCATCTTTACAGGATTATGATTAGGCTGTTCTGCAAGGGAAAACGAGTGAAGGATGTTGAAGCAATGGTCTCTGAAATGGAAGAAGCAGGATTTAAGCCTGATCTTTCAATATGGAATTCTATGCTGAAGTTATACTCAGGAATTGAGGATTATAAAAGGACAGCTCGAATATATCAGCAGATTAAGGAAGCCGGACTTGAACCTGATGAGGACACTTACAACACTTTGATAACAATGTACTGCAGAGATCGTAGACCTGAAGAGGGGTTATCTCTGATGTATGAAATGAGGAAGGTGGGTTTAGAACCGAAATTGGACACCTATAAAAGCCTGATTTCAGCATTTGGCAAGCAGCAGCTCTTGGAACAGGCTGAGGAATTATTCAACGAGTTGCATTCAAAAGGCTACAAATTGGACCGCTCTTTCTATCATACAATGATGAAAATATTTAGAAATTCTGGAAACCATTCCAAAGCTGAAAGTCTGTTAAGCATGATGAAAGAAGCTGGAGTGGAACCCACTATTGCTACAATGCACTTGCTTATGGTTTCTTATGGAAGCTCTGGACAGCCACAGGAAGCAGAAAAAGTCCTTACTAGTTTGAAAGAATCAGGATTAAATCTTACTACACTACCATATAGTTCAGTCATTAACGCTTATCTTAGGAATGGAGATTATAATGTTGGAATTCAAAAGCTCATGGAGATGAAGAAAGAGGGTTTAGAAGTAGACCACAGAATATGGACATGCTTTATCAGGGCTGCAAGTTTGTCCAAGCACACAAGTGAAGCCATTATCCTCTTAAATGCACTTGGAGATGCTGGATTTGATCTTCCTATCAGGTAACTTTTTTCACTTTAGGAGTGAGACCGTGGTCTTGAAGACAGATTTTCTTAGTTTTTCCTTCTATATAATTATTAATAACTGTTGTTGTTATCTAGGCTTATGACAGAAAAATCTGAGTTACTACTTTCAGAGGTAGAAAGTTGTCTTGAGAAACTTGAACCAATAGGGGATGATGCAGCCTTCAACTTTGTCAATGCCTTGGAGGATCTGTTGTGGGCATTTGAACTTCGAGCCACCGCCTCATGGGTTTTCCAATTGGCAGTCAAGAAGAGCATTTATCACCATCATGTTTTCAGGTAGGTTCTGAGTAGTGGTAGGTTGAGCTTCTCATCACCTCTTTACCTAACTGTTTTGGAACTCTGTTCCCATGTCAAGGAAGTTCTTAAATCTAGTCCTAGAAAAAGAAGTTTTTGCGAACAATTCAGGTTTTAGTTTTGAGCCTGTTTTTACATTACTATGTCTACTTACTGCTATTTATTTTGTCTAGGTTTTCCTAAGTTTCTTTACTCAAGCATAGCTTGATGGTGTCAGATTAAGCTGGAAATGTGATGTAGTATCAAAATTTTTCTTATGCTATAACATATAGTTTTAATTTGTTTCCAGCTGTTTTAGTCAAATGAAGTTCTCTTTCTTGCCTAATTTGGAGATCTATTCTTTTACATGTTAGGATATGCTTGCACCTAGCATAAAATTTTGCTCGCAGTTAAGCTGTGATTGCCCTCTCCTTATGAGTTGAGTTGCTTGGGAAACCCTATAAGTGATTTCTAGGCTGCTCTATACTACAGTAGTGCTTCTTTGATTCCAGCAACCAAATACCCCTATACTCAGTATTTTGTGTTTACCAATATAGATTGTGAGCATAATTCAATCCTGAAAATTCAAAATCTCCAATTTATCTCAACGATAGTGCTGATCTGAAAGATCGTGCATCAAGCAAAAGTTGCCTTTGTGCATCAAAGCAATACCAGCCATAGGAAAGACTGAAACTGCAAGGAGCTTTGATGCATGTGTAGAACTCTGCAGTTTTTCATTGCTTTAAAGAGGACTATTTTATGCATTCATAATCATAGATAGGAACTGAATGCAAATCAGACTATGATTGTTTTTATACCGTATTTCTTTCCCTTATACCTGGTAGATCTCTGATTCAGGGTAGCTGATAAAGATTGGAGTGCTGATTTTAGAAAGTTATCAGCTGGTTCTGCTCTTGTTGCTCTTACTTTGTGGCTTGATCATATGCAGGCAAGTTCTCTTTCCCTTCTTTTGTTTCTTTTGAATTGTTCTGATGTTGGAAATGGCTAGGTGTAATCTTAATAAAATATAAACCACACCCATTTACAAAATAAAATAAAATAAAATGTAATACCTAACTTGTTCTTCCTAGTGGCATAATTGTTATTGCTGCTTCCAGGTTTTTCTGACAGATGCCAATGTATCTGTTGTAAATATATGATTTTCTAACTTCTGGGTATCACAAATATTTGTTAATATTTCACAATTTCTCTGGACTTGAAAATTTTATTGATTGCTGAAATTGAAGGCCTTTATGTACCTTACTATTTTTCTTATTGTGACTTTTAATTTCTGTAAACCTTTTACTTTGTATTTGCACCTGAATCTTGGTCTTTATTCTCCATCAAGTTCCAATTACCAGTTCTATCTCTCTTACCAGCTACTGTAACCCTGGTTTATATATAGCCTGTTAACTCAGGTAGTACTTATAAATCATTGGGTAGATAGATATACACCCATGACAGGAGGCAGACTGGGTTTCCGCCAAAATTAATGGAAAATCAGAAGCTATTGTACTGACTACAGAGGCAAGTAATTAGGGTTTGAAGATTTTATATTTGGTTGCTTTTAGAGCAAATGGAATGGAGAATCATGAGAAATAAGGCTTTATAAGTGCATCTAGTATGGTATCAAGTTGGGATAAGCACCCGGGCATTTGGCTCATTGGTTGGTGTATTATCTCCTGCTTAAAAAGCAGGGTTCGAATCCCTTCTCTCCCAATTATATAAAAAAATAAAAAAAATTAAAAAAAAGTGGGGATAAGAATCAAGAGTTTGTTGATTGATTTATGAGCTGGTCTATGTTTCTGAACACAACCAATGAACAGAAATTTAGTGCTAAGTTTGAAACTTGAGGTTTGTTCTGGTGCAAGTTTATAGAAGATGGATGGCATGTTTAGGCTTTAAGTAGATTGAGTTAGGACTGACGTTTCAATGTGAAACAAAGCTGGAAATTAAAGAAGAAGAACCACGTTTTAATGCATTTTGTTTTGTTTAGTTTCTTATGATTGCCTTTCAAAAACGTTTCTTATGATTCATATTTGGTTTGGGTGTGGTGTTTTGGGGGATAACCGGATAAGGATCTAAACTTGGAACTTTCTTGATCCCACTTATAATATGCATCCCTGTTGTTAACCAAGCTTTTGGGCTATGATTATTTTATCTCTAACGTAGCGATGCTTTTCGTTTCAAAGGATGCTGCACTGCAAGGGTATCCAGAATCGCCAAAATCAGTTGTTCTGATAACTGGGACCGCAGAGTACAACATGGTTTCACTTAACTACACATTGAAGGCATGCCTTTGGGAGATGGGCTCTCCTTTTCTTCCTTGCAAGACACGGAGTGGCCTCCTCGTTGCCAAGGCGCACTCCCTTAGGATGTGGTTGAAGGACTCACCGTTCTGCTTGGACCTTGAACTAAAGGATGCGCCGTGTCTCCCAGAACTAAACTCTATGCAACTAGTTGAAGGATGTTTCATGAGACGTGGTCTCGTTCCTGCATTCAAGGACATAACGGAGAGACTTGGATTGGTGAGGCCAAAGAAATTTGCAAGACTGGCATTGCTATCCCATGACAGACGAGAGAAAGCAATTCAGGCTGATATACAGGGAGGTAGAGAAAAGTTGGAAAAGTTGAAGACAAAAGTTGGGTACAAAGGGGCCAGGAACATCAAGAAACTAAGCAAGAGAAAGTTTATACGGAGACCCTTGTGAGATCCATAAGAGAATAGAGAAGAAAACCTGGTGTGAATTGGAGCTGCCTTACACAGAAGATGGCATAGCCATACTGTATGTTAGCAAATGTTACCTCTCCTCTATCTTGGGTCATATTCAATCAACATAATACTTCATGTTTCAACCACTTCCATGTCATTAATTGCTGCCTACGCAAATCCAAAGCCCTTACCCACCAACCTAGCCATTTGTCTGTCGCTCTTTTTTATTAATTCACTCTAAAATCACTAAATAGAATTATCTACATTTATGTTGCTCTTGTTATTTCCCTTAAAAAAAACAAATTAAAAATGAATAAAAAAAAAGCATAGAGTAAAAATATCAATGAAGCGAATTTGTTTTTTCAAAGGTTGCATTATGTTAGTAAGCCAGATGAATTTATTAAATAAGATGTTCATGTTATTAATTGAATCATAATAATTTTTAATTTTGAGGTTTATTAATCTAATTTTGTTTAATTTAATTTGAAATTCTCACAATGCCACACTTTATTTTTTACTTTTAATTTAATAAATATTTCAATCGCAATCAAACAACATTCAATATATATAAAAAGATATTATAATCAATAAAAAAATAATAATTAACCTAGCCAATACAATTTATTATAATATTTTAATATATTTGCGTTTTAATTTATTTTTTATAGACGTATTTAAGTTTTACATCATATCTTTTTTGAAAAAAAAACATTGCATAATATTTCATAAATACTTTCAAACATTCAATAAAAAAATTATGTCTTATTTATTTTAAAATATAACATTAATATTGTTTTAACATTTTTGTCAAAAAATAACTTTTACATTTTTTTCTACTACAACTACTAATAATAATAATAATAATAAAGGAACTGGAGATGGTTAGCTTAGCGGCAAACGGCCAGTGTTAAAAGAGGAAAAAGGAAAATAAAGAGGAAGGTGCGTAAAACAAAAGAAATATCACCTTTTGGGATTCTGGGTTATGGCCACAGCTCTGCCATCAACGGCATGGCATAAATTAAAGCTTCAGCCGCAATCTCCGATTCCTCAGCGGCGGCGTCCCTTATTAATCCAGTCCTTTAGGCGGAGCGACTTCGACACCTTTGCTCGCCGCATGGCTTCCGGTGAGGCCTGGAAGGACGCCTGGCGAACAGCCAACGACGGCTTCGAGCTACTCGTCTTCGAAGCTAAAAAGACGGCCGAACGCTTAGACCGTCGGTACTCCGTTTCCCGCCGAGTCTCCTCCGTCGTCCGATCCGCCACTGACCGTGCTCGTGAGATCGATCGGGAGCTCGAGATTGGACTCCGTTGGCGGACTTTTACTATGGATTTTAGTAGAAATTGGCCTACGGTTCGTCTTGTGTTTCATTTCTTACTCCAGTTTTAAGTTTTTTTTTTTTTTTTTTTAATTTGGACTTTTTATGCTAACTATTTAAGTTATTGGGTTTTATTGATATGGTTGCAGTACAGGAAGCAGCTAAATGATTTCTTGGATACTCCATTAGGAAGAAGTTTTGCTGTAAGTAATATCATGCTTAGTATCAGCTTTACTTCCTATCCTTCATAAATTTATAGGCTTTGCTTTTAAAAAGGAAAAATTGTCATAAAGCAAATGAAAGTAATAAAGTGCAAAACTATGTTTGATTTAAAATGCGTAATTGATATAAGATGCAACAGTAATTCAAAGGTTGTTTCATTTGAAAGTAAACTCTTGCATTTTACTATCTATGTATTTAAATTTTTTATTTTGTAACCAATTAGGTAGAGCATGCATCTCCCCCTTCTCTCTCTTGTTTTTAATGATTTCATGTCAAAGAAGGGAATTGTGAACATGGGTTGTTACAGGGTGGGAACGTGGGTTTTTGCAGGGTAGGGGTTGCCAAGTGATTGGTCAAGTCCAAAACTCCTTAAAATTAAAACCCTTGTGACCTGTACTTAATTTGCAATATGCGAAATCATGTTTTCATTGTCTGTAACTAATTAAAGAGGATGAACTACTTACTCTGTGCAGTAGCGTGTTGTTTTTGGGGTTTATAATTGCCTTGTCTACAAGTTGAGCTTCAACACCTATTGCCAAGTGGCTTTAGGTTGAAGATTTCAGATGCCCAATTGTTTGTTGCCTTCATTTTGGGAGTCCATGTGATAGGACTATTATTCTCAATTGTTCTATTAGGCCTACATGTAAGGGAGAGCATTAAGTGGTCTTACTTGTCATGTCAGTTGTATAGGGTTTTGTATAGCGGCCATATATTCAAGTTGGGTCACTTAACTTATTAATTGGTTACAGGTTGGATGCTTATGACTCTCATTCTTCAATATCTTTTGCCTAGAAATTTAGTCTTTTCAAGGTTTTTCTTCAATGCAGAGTAAATGAGTCCATGAATTTCTTTTGGAAGGGCTAGGATCCAGAAGCTTCTTCAAAGATTTCTTATGCATACACTGTGCGCTTAAAGAATTTCTTTTATCTGTTTGCAGACAATTTTCTTCCTTTGGTTTGCATTATCTGGATGGCTGTTTCGATTTTTAATATTTGCCACATGGATACTGCCATTTGCCGGACCTCTTCTCATTGGGGCTGTTGCCAATAATCTTGTTATTAAGGTATAACTTATTGCTCTAACATGGCACATATAATGTAGGGAAAAAGTGATGACTTGCACAACTTACGTGTTTATCTTTCTTCATAACATTTTGTTTAATTTTTATTCCTTTTTTTACCCTGTAAAAGGTGACACTAGGTAAGTTCTGTCCATAATATATGGAACCACAGGATAGAAATCAAAGTCTAGTCATGCATGTGATTCTTTAGTTCTACTTTATTAGTATCTGAACAAATAATACTTTCCATTCTGATGACTACAGTTTAAGTTGCCTTTACATGGTTGTTTAGGTGCAGAATGGTGACAATAAATGTTCATAACTTCTAACATCTCTTTTCCTTCTTGCTGTTGCATCTTTACGACATTGAGTATGTGGGAAGATCTTCCTTCTAATAACTTATATTATTAACTTGGTTTCACTGTAAGGAGTAAAATGAAAATAAAATGTAGAAACTAGAATTAGCCATACATTTGTGCTTGATTTCAATTAGAAAAATTATTTATTAATCAGGTTTTCTTCATAAAACTTTGTTTCCTGTCATCCTCTCTTTATCTTTCTGGTTTCTTGTCAGTGGATTAGATTGAAAAGTTCTTGAAAGTTATGCTGGTGAGTTTGTCAGTGATCAGATTTATTTAAGTAGAAATGTAGAGCTTTTGGGGCATATAATTGTTTCTGAGGAACTCTTCTGACCTTGTATATGGTTTGAGAAGGGATTAAAAAATATGGTTGCAGAAGCAAACTAGGGTCCATTTATTCACAACTTCATTCCAAATACATTTTAAAACTTCTTCATTGTGCTTGTGGCTTGGTGTATTACACTGTGCTCTGAGGGTTTATGTTCAGAAATCCACGTATCAGCTTCTATCAGTTTTTGTTTTAGTGGTAAAACATTGTGAAAATGGCTTATGCCTTTCTATGTTAAAATTGGTCAGGGTGCTTGTCCAGCTTGTAAGAGACAGTTTGTTGGTTACAAGAACCAAAAAATACGCTGTGCAAGCTGTGGAAACATTGTATGGCAACCAGAAGGGGACTTCTTCACTAGAGATAGTGGGGGCACGAATTCAAGAAAGTCAGAACCTGAAATTATCGATGTTGAGTTTGAGGAGAAATGACAAGATGTTGTCAAAATAGACAAATGATCTTTCGCTTTCTATGGAGTCAAACGAGACTAAAAAGGCATTTTTGCTCATTTCTTCTGATATTTAGTTGCTTTGAAACTCTCCTGTTGTCATTTGTGTCTGTACTGTATAGTATCATTCTCAGTTGTAGTCACTTATGTACAATGAAACTTAAAAGAAAGAAAATGCTAATCTTTTGTTTATAGAAAATGTTTCATTTCAGAGGGTCTAGCTTGTAAGTTTGAACTTTGATGTCTGAAGCCGTTGTTGACAAATGCTTTATATTTGTGTAAGAACTTTGCTTATACTGCTTGAAGGTGGCAAGAACAAGGAGGAATGGTCTATCAGTGACAGAAGGACTTAATGCCTGAATGAACTTCAATTGAAATTTTTTATTATACTGTTTTGTCTTATGAAAATAAATGTTCTCGTGCGTTTATTAAATTATTATAAATTTTTTTTTATTTTCACGAACATTATTAATAAAACACTGTTAAATTGGAGTGTGTATACCATTGTTCTTAAAGATACGTTCCAGTATCATTTCCTTCCCCTTTCAGAACGGAACTCTTCCTGTTACACTGAAGAAGGGAAGGATGTGCAAGAACCCAAAACAAAGACAAATACTACCCAAGCCATAGTCTGTGTCTGTGGAGAAGTGCCTCCTAATCCAATTATCAACTCCAACAGCGTCAAAAGTTTCATTCCATCTTTGCTTTATATTAATGTCAATCAGTTTCAGCATCACCCAAAATCATCAACTTTGGTTCTCAAATGTTCCCTGAGTGGAGCTGCAGGAAACAGCCAGCCTTCAGAATCAGAGGTAAAAGATACATAACTATGCACTTATTATCTTATTATTGCCTTGATTTCCTGAAATATGATATATGCATTCAATTTTGTTTAATGTGTAGATTCAGCAAAGAAGGGGTTATGGAGTAGATGGAAGATCAGCTTCTTGTCCTGAAGAAGAAAGGAACAAAAATGGCTTCTGAGATTTTAGGGAAGAAGAAGAAGAAGAAGAAGAGGTGGCCCAGTGAGATAGAATGCACTTTACCAGGCTTAAGAAGTAGACTACTAGTGAGCTTACGTCCGGTGGCTTGGATGGTTGGGTTTATCCTAGCTTAGCTTATCAAAGGGTATTTAACCTATACAATACTTATCTAATAACAAGTCTGTCACCAAAAATTTAACGTTGATTGTGTATATTTTGTCTGAAGCACAAAATGTGATTATCATTAATGTATCATCTCCAGAATAATTATCTCTTAACAGCTGTTCTTTCATTGACCATATAAATTTATCTTTAAACATGTATATTTAATTAGCTTTGATCCTAGTTCCAAGTCAATAAAAATATACACCTGCTTTAACCCAAATATGGGGAAACGAAGGGGTTCAACAATTATCAAAACCTTGCTATTGGATCTTGGGTCATTATCTGCTTTAATGTATAGCATTGCCGTCTTATCTTTGATATTGACACATAAGGCCACATTGTGCAAAATCAGCTCCCATGGTGATAACATATGCGTACACATCTCAGAAAGACAGATAGATACAAGTAAATACTAGATTCCCAACAGCTACAGGGTCTCTGTCCTGTAATAGGTAAGGCCCATAAAATGTCCACACTTGTACCGAAAATCTATTTACATTCATAAAACTAGACATCCATTTCCTAACTCCTACAAGAGTACAAAATCCAAAACTTTACTGTAGTATTCCAAATAATGGAGTAGGTTGGCCTGATAAACATATCTATGCAAATTCCAAACTGCCTACTTCTGGTATAATTTCTCATTACCTGTTTGCGACCTGAAAATACTTTTCTTCAATCGAGTACTCAGAAACAGGTGTCCTGTAAACGTGAAAGCCTAAAAAGCTACAAGCAATGAACATGCTGATTACCTGATTGATCTAAATTATTGGAAAGAATGCAGCCTACTCACCTTGACAATGCTGACAACGTAATGTTGGTGGGAATGCTTTTTGTCAAAAAGATGAAATTAGCAATGCTTATTTTGCTGACAATATTTAATGTTTCGTTGTATCAATGTACAATGTAATCTATGATGGATCTCTTACTACATCACTAGTGGAGAGAATCGCTTTACTAGCTGCCTTTGATGGTGGCCTATTGATCTTTTCAAGTAACCTACTGAATACTAGTTTGACAGGTATGCACGCCACTGTTGTGGGCCCAGATGACTCTGGTTTGATTAATCCATCCATTTCACAGTTACCGCTATCATGTGTAGCCTTCGAACTGACATTTTGTTCTATACCAATTGATGACAGAGTTCTTGTCTTCTGGCTAGAAGATAAGCTTACTTTCTTCGGGAACTTTCTTTGAAACTTCCTGTCTGTGGGAGAGCGGGGAACATGAGAGATGCTCTTTTTAACCAGACCTGCCTTATACTCTGAACTTCCCACATTGTATCTCTTGAAAGATGGTTTTCCTCCATGATCCAAGGAATGATATTCAGCTGCTTCATAACTACCCAATGCTAATGGTGGGTGAGGACGTGGGACCCTAAAATTGGTCCTCTTGGCGGTCCTCCATGCCGGTGGAAGTGAAGTATTTCCATCATGGTTAATTATTCCATTACTGAAATAACCATTAGTGGGGAGGAGGGTCTCAGTTGAACTGTCCTGTAGGGCTTCAATTTGAATGGGATGCCCTATAATTGCCTTCCCATCCAACTTGCTCATCAATGAAACAATAGGTACAGGTTCTTTTTGATAGCCTGCTTGGACTCTCAAATCTACATCTATCAACATAGATCTTTTCCTCGCACCAAAATTACGATGGCCAGCAAATACAGGATCAAAGTGCCACACTTTGTCCTCCCACTCTCTTTTCACAGCAGCATGGTTCTCCCAAGGCATGCCTTCCCAATCAATGACATTACGGTTAAAAGTATTTCTACTTCTGGATGAGTCCCTTGCTGTACGAGAATAACCTCTCCCATCAAACCCAACCATTTGGGTCCCGAAATCTTTTGCACTCAGACCAGCAACATCAACATCATCATCGAAGTCATGATTTCTACGAGAACTCTGACCTAACAACCTTTGTCTGAAAGTTCCCCTTTCTTCGTGATATATCCCATGAGCAGGTCCATCATAACCTCTTATCTCTGCTGCATCCATGGATCTTTTTGCCAGATTCCGTATGTTCCTTTTCCCTTTTAGCTGCCACTTGGACACAGCTTCGTGCACAGAGAGATGATCATGAGAATAAAAGTGAGGCATCTCACCAGAAAGAGATGACTCATCAGACTCCTCCAGGCCCACGCTTCCACTGCCTAACGTATCAGGTCTTTGAAAGGCACCCAATCGAGTATCCATTCGTACAGTAGCACCTGAATAGAGAGAATCAGAAAATAATAAGAAAAAATGATAAATCCATTACCACCAATTGTTCAACAGGTCATGATGCTTTCCTGACTAAACATCATATTATTATATTAGCCCCCCAAAATTGTAATCTTCTCTTAAAATACTGCGGTTTATATTATTTTCATTCATATTATTATATTAGCCCCCCACTTAATTAACCTTAGCTCAACCACTGCAAAAGGATATTTAAAACCTAAAAAGAAAGGAGAGATTATAATTCCATATATAGCCAATAAACCAACATTCAAAATTCATTCTAGATCTCCACTATTACTTAAGTCTCACGTTAGTTTTCAACTATGAAATTTGACTACTTTACACCATAACCCCTTGAGCAAATTTTGTAATAGTAAGTAAATTATTAATATAAAAGAGAATTTCAAATAGTTCTTAACAATCAACGATTACCAGTACCTAGTTTCTCTCCGTTATCTCTCTTTTCTGTCTTTCCCACTTTCATTAGTTTATTCACCTTTTTGTCATTCTTTTTTCACCCACGTGTGGGTGGCACTAAGCTAGTAGAACCCTTCCCAAAACAGTCACCCTGATATTACGAACATACTTCCTGAAGCAGATAACATAAGCATGTCAAAGTAAACAAGAACTCATATACACCTTCAAAGTAATTGACCAGAAAACAGAATTGCAGAGCATCTCTAATCCAGGTTGTTTATTTAAGAACATATAAATTCCCTTCCCCCAACCACAACCTACGACTCGAAGAACATAGCTGTAGTACTGCAAACAAGTCCAAAGTTGCCGCAGAATCAATAATTTCAGAGAGGGGGAAATCAAAGTTAAGGCAAGTATGTTTAGAACTAAATACCATTAATGGTGTTCAGAGAACAGTATGTGAAACATAAGGTTTTCAAGATAGATCGAAAGACAGCAAAAGCTGGATTGCATGGCTGCAGGATATGCTCTATCCTAAAGGAAACAAAACATTTAGCCAGGATGCAAGATAATCTTCCCAACACAATGCATGAAAATAGAGTTAAGACTAAAAAAGGTAAACCTGAGAGTGAAGTGATATCCTCATCCATATCTGGTTCAGTCTCAGAAGAATCAGACTCTGACTCAGATTCAGAGGAAGCTGATTCAGAAGAACCAGATTCAATATCTTCCAAGAACTCTCTAGTATTATCTTCAATCAAGTGACTAGGAAAAGGATAAGAATCACATTCCACAAAACGGGAAGGGGACATCTCAATCTGGTTTGCAGGAACTTCTTTATAATCTAGAGCATCAAAAGACTCAGCTGGCAAGTACATGCATCTGCTCCTTTTTGCTCGGGAAGCACCTCCCATCTGCTCTCCTCCTGAAATAGAAGAAGAAACAGCACCAAAGTCAGGTTGCAAAAAGTAAGGGAATCCTAATTTTGCACTAATCTGCAATACTTGAAGAAAAAAGGCTGCCTCCCGTCACATCTCTTGACCAAAAGCTCCTCAGCAAATCCCTCATGTAACCTTTTCCTTTCATCTAAAAAAGATTTACCATTAATGTGTGTGGTTCTTCCCATGCTAGAAACTCTGCTGGAAGGAGATAGAGTATCGTCAACATCCAAAGCACCAAAAGATGTAGGCTTTTGTTTCGCACATGCAGTCTTGAGCCCCAAGTCCTGCAATCCTCTCATCCGGGGTATGTTTTCAGAATGATCATTTTCCCAAATAGGATTTCCAACTTGGTCTTTTCTCAAATGTCTGGGGCTGCTCACTATTTCACCCTTGATGGAAGTATCTTGACTCCTGGATTGATTGGATTTTGAGTTCCCAGGTTTTCCATTACTAATATCTGAACCTCCAGAATCCTTTTTAGCAGAGCCAGATGATTTACTTCTTGCATCAGAAGGTCTATCCAATTTTCCTTGCTTTCTCAACAATTCCTTTTCAAGTTCAAGTGCATGAAGGATAGCATCTTCCCGTCGAGCATATTTCTCTCTTTTCTTGGGTGGCATACCTTGTGAGGATTCTGCCCTCTCAATGCAATCATCAAACTCCCCACATCGAAATGCCTTCACACGCTTAGACTTTTCTAAATTGTACCAATCACTGAGAAGACCAAAAAATGAAAGCATTCTTACAAGAATAAATAAATTGAAAAAGGAACAGCAGATTATACTTAATAAAAGAAAATGCTAATAAAAAATGGCTTTGGAACCAAAATTCAGCCATGACATCATAAAGACTATATCTTTAAAAATATGCACAAAATGAAGGCAATAAAGCAAAAGGAAGTCATATGAATTCTCACAATAGAATTACCACAGAAAAATAGTTGCACACCAACGGAAACAATGCAAGTTGATAAAGTTATCTGCCTACAAATCATTTGCACATTTTCCACATCAGTTTACCAGAATAAGATAACTTTAAAAAATTTGCAGACTAATGGGGAGAGTACTTGACTGGATAGGGAAGGTATCCGCATAAAAGAGAACAGGGGAAGGAAAGTTAGCAGTATTTCCATACAACAGAAGGATTTTCCAGGAAAAAGTGACGGGAATTGATTTACTAAACCAAACAGCATCTATTCTAAGATCACAAACAGACTAAGATTGCAACAAAGTACAGAAAACATTAATGAAACAAATGCGTGGCAGTCAATAGACTCTAAGTAAATTGACAATCAAATTAGTATACTAGAGGTCAAAGATGCATCACATATGCTATACTACCTTCTTATAAACTTAAATGCTAGTGGAAAGCAAAGCTGGTTTTGCTGGCCTAAAACTTGGAAAGAGCACCTGCTAACTTATTATCACGTAGAATATGATTCTAATGACAACATAAATACCATTTCTCCTAACTTCTAAAATCAGGTTTAATTTGTATCTTTAACAGA